CACACGCTTCTCGCTTCGATACCCCTTCCGGCGACATCATCCTACACATGCGAATTCACAAGACCATACTGACGCAAAAATGTAAAAGGCTTGGAACGCCGTTTGTTCTACAAAAGTCACACATTCCCACGATTACACGGAAAAGCGAAAAGAGCAAGAACCCAGAGCAAGCATTTGAAGAATCCAAAAGATGCAAAAAAAAAAAAAAGGACAAGAAAAAAGACAAGAAGCTCACCGGCGTACAATCCCTTGCCGATGTCATGGATCCTCCATTATCTCGATATCTTCCCCTCGAACAAGGAGCCTCAGGGTGCCAATACACCACCACGGCAGCAGCGGGAAGAAGATACATGAGTCCATGGTTGCAAGAACCAGTAACATGTTCCAGTGAATGGTCGAAATTCACACACAAACAATGCCTTTCGCGCCACCACGCCAAGCTACTCCTCAGTCAAGAAGAATCCTATTCGATTCGTCTCGAAGCGCACGAGTTGTTTTTGCGCACGGCATTGACCAAATGCGAGGAAATTCAAGATCAGTTTCAAGTCAATGGTAGGGCGGCATTGCAAATTGGACACTTGTCTAAACTGGAATATTGCACGCCGAACCAATTACCGACGCAAGGCTTGAGCCGAAGAACACCACTGCAGACAAACTCATTCGCCCGCCTGTAGTTGTTGGCTGGAATTCTGGATTTAGCATCTCAGCGAAAGAGGAGCCCGACCCCAACAACCATGCATGCGGTGCGACAGGAGAGAAGTATGATGCACCGTTCATACAGCCGCCTCGCACGTCGACTGTCTGCCGATGAATCTCCGGCGTTGTACCGTAACCCGAACAACAGTCTGGAGCGGCGCGCCGGGGCCGCAATTGATCACAATTGCGGCGAGCCTGTAGTGCGGGGTCGCGTCAGGGCCATATGCCACAGTTTGTCAGTTCACATGGCATATGGAGGACCCGGCTCGCTGCTTTCCTCCCTTCCTTTTTTCCCACAGTCCGAGTCCTCGCGCGCCGCGTGGCCAACGGGCAACCGTGGGCAGGGCGTGCACACTTTCCCACGAAACCACCACGCAGTTCGAGCTTGTTGAGCATCGCACACCTGTGATGATTGGAGTAAGGCTGTTCAGGCGGGATACCTCGATCATGCTTGCGTGCTCGCTCGCGGAGCGTCAAGGCCCAACACTGATGCGGACGGCCTGCAGCCGCTAAAAATTCCATTAACCGCCTTGGCGCCCACACAATGGCTTGGCCTGCCGAAGAAACGTCCAGATGGTAGCTGCGCCATTGCATCAGTCTTACGGATCCAATAATCACGACATCCCTTGACTTTCCTTAGGAGTTCGGTCACTCTTCAGCAGAGGATAAATCCTTCAGGCCGAAAAAATCCTGACCACGACAAACAGATTCTCAGAACAAAACACGCTTTTTAGTGTCGACATTGATCCCACCTGACGTCGATCTGAGGCTGCGTTACATTGACGCAAGCCTGCAGAACCAACATTGCTCAATTGCAAAAGTCAACCTCTGATCAAATGCCTGTTTGAAGCTCAAAAAAGAGACAATGTCACGTGTAAATATCTTTCACACAAGCGATACGTGGACATGGTGATTACTGCGATTCCCGAACTTTTGAAAAGACAAGCCAACGAAGAGTCACCACGGACACCGCAAAGAAGAAGGGGATTTGTATGGTGCTACAAGATCGATTCTCGACTCTGTTCATCGGTGTCCGATGTCTGTTCGGCAGAATTTGAACTCATTGCGCACGTATTCGGGTCCGATCAAACCAGGGCCGATCCTCTCGAAGGAAATGAACCCATGCCATTGGTCGTGGCTAGGGCTCTCTTGCAGCGGGTCATTAGTGATCCTATCAATGGATTGCAGGCGAGGATTAACGACATTTTGGCAAGCATTGATCAGAGAGGTGACTTTGACGCGGGGTCCAAGAAGCTTGACACGTTTGTCGTGATTCACGAAAAAGCTTCTGGGCTCTTTTCCTTGCTCAAGGATTCGGCTCAAAAGATGATCCTCAAAGAGACCGCCAAGAAGTCGGTTGACTCTGATCTCAAGAACAAGGGATTGGACTCTACCAGTCGTCAGTCGCAAGCCATTGCGCGCAATGCAGTCGAGTCTCTCAAAGGATTCCTGACCTCACAAGAATTGTCACTCAGCAATACCATCGACAGGGCTACATCAATCTGGAATTGCGATTGCTGCATCATCAATGCTGTTCCAGTTTGGACAAGTCTGGATGCACGCTCCTCATCCCACCTGCTCCAAGGCGAAGGGACTCGACCCTGGCGGAAAAGGGAATTCTGGAGGAATACCGGGCTCCAGTGGTACCTTTGGACAAACAGCAACTCTTGAAGTCCGGATTGAATGCGCTCTTGTCGGGGCCATTGAAGCAGTCCGTTCTGCTACAGCCTTTGGTTCATGCCACAGAGTCCTTGGCGAGGGCGCGTTTGATGTTTTCGTCGGGCAAAAAGAAGGGAGGCGAAACTACAGCGCGAGTTGTCTGCAGTATCTACAGTCAAATGTGTTCCTTTTATGGAGAAGGATTCCTATATCCCATTATGGAAGTTCTGAGGGATACTCGCAAAACCAATCCCCCGGCTCAGCCACCCCAATTGCCATTCAACCAAGACATGCCTGCTCATGACCTGGGAGTAGAGCAGCACTTTTGGGTGTGTTTGGAACGCCTACATTCTGCGGCCAAAGCCTTTGATCGAGAAATGTGGGCGGAAGGACGAGCCGACACGGGACGTGTTTGGGAGATTTTGGAGCGTTGTGATGATCAGGACTCCATGTCCAAGGCCCGAGCTTGTCGGTTTGAATTCTACTCCGAGCTGGAACGACGGGGTGAAGCCGCAATCATGAAAGCGTTGGATTCCATCAGTGCTCATATTCACTGGATTTTGGTTTCTGGCGGCGAAGGCATGCTGGCAACGGGAGCAAATCGTCTAATGGCCAATATCACCGGTTCGTCAGCAGTAAGTATCAAAGTTTGGGCAGTTTTTGTGAGTGTAGCGTTGCTGGAAAAGCGGCTAACCGATCTTTCCACGCATTTTTTGTCGTTGCCAGGGCCCGTATGCTGTTCCACAAGGGGCCAATATGGACTCGTCACTGAGCCCCGCGGTCGAGTCTTTGGTTTACTGTTTGAGGGTCCAATTTGTGCATGTCCAGAGTGCGATGACATCTCATTCAGTCGCTGGCTTCTGGACTGCCCTCTCGATGCGCTTGTATGATATCTTGGTAGCCCGTCTCCTGAAGCACTACCAAGTCTCCCAGCAGGGCGCTGCTATTTTGCGAGGCGATGTGGATGCTTTGCGGGGGGCTTCCATGCTTTCGTCAGGAAGCCCGCATGATCACTGGGATATGCTACAGGAGCTGATCACATTGTACATGATTCCTCCTGACTCTGTGAAGGGTATGCTGGTGGGACCCGAAGGTGACATGAGCTTGGGCAAAGGATTGTTTGGCAGAGCTGGCCGAGATCAATGCCTCGTTTTCCTCAGTCGCCGCGTTGATTACAAGTTCAAACAAGGAGCCTCCCTTAAGAGGAGTGGTTGGGCCGAAGGGCTGCTGAACGATCTGGGCCTTAGTGACCCCACGGATCATGGAATCAACATTGGGTTGTTTGCGGCGGAACGAAAGCCCTAGCTAGCTGACCATAAATATTGATTTGCATTAATCGGTTTCCCCACCCACTCAGGCAGCACTATGAAGCAAGGCTAGCTATGCAGCTATACAAAGCAATGGCACAGAGTAAACAAACATTCATATGTTCGTTCTATCTTATGAATTCATTTTTAGAATGATCAATCAAGACTCTACTCATCGAGGCTACCGGGTGCGTTACGCTGTACAGTACCGTACGGTATTAAAATACCGTATTGATCTTGCGACTGTGTGAGAGGCTGTTTGCAGCTCTTGCGGGCTTATTAGTGATCGAGGACGGTGGTGTCGTGTCATGGTATGGTACCGGTACAACTCGTACTAGTAGTCATTGTGTTGTGTTGTGTTCATGTAGGATGGCATCGAGGTGCACAAAGGACGACCAGATATGCACCACGATCGTCGATCGGACTTGCTACTTGATCCGACAAGCGCTCGATGTAACTGAACAAAAAAGGTTGTTTGAGGATCTTATGGAACAATCCAAAAACACAGACAATTCCACCAAAGCTCTGTACCCGTCGCCGAAAACAATCATCTATGACAACCACAAATCGACGCTTCACTACGGACCCGACGACGACTCCGTTTACAACCAGATGATCCGGAAAGTGAATGAGACTCTCAGTCGGAACCTTTCGAGTGGCCATCCATCATTGGACAAGTTCCAACGAGTGGCAGTGGGCGCCATTCGATACCCGGCACCAGACGGATCTTTTCCCGCGCATATAGATCATTGCTGCAGCTGGGTTTACTTGTTGAGTCTTGGGTGCTCGGCAAATTTCATCGTGAAAGGACCGGAAATGACAGACAAACACGTCTTTGAGTTCCACAGTGGCGATGTCTTTTGCTTCGATGCTTCCACGCAAGCCGCGATCCTTCATGGCGTCCAGAACATCCGCATCGGATCCTGTCCTGAAGAATTGGCCCAGGCGTTTGAAACGTTGCGACATCATCGATTTGGAGTGCAATGTAGGGTCAAGGAATATGATGACAGGAATGCTGAGACAGCTACTGGTACCAACCAGAATGCTTGATGCAAGAAGTTTCATTCCTACCGTATCCTCAGAGCAAACATCCAATTATTGCAATACCTTATCTTAGATCATTTTCGGATTTTGGGTTATTCTGTGTGCATGGAATTTTCTGTGTTTGTGCTGGAACTCATTGCTCTGCAGCAGCCAACAAGGGAAGAGCGCAAAGGCAGTTTTGGGGGCTCTGTTCAGTATTTGGGTTCCAACAGCTCTGGGTTGGTGCACTAGCTGATAGCACAAAATTACCCAACTCTAGCTAGCACTATTGTTCTGACACTGCACAATGAGGTGTACCAAGTCCTTTACAGATAGTCCTACTAGTACCACAGTGAACTGCCAGCAGGTACCAGTACCAGGTAGTGTGCGGACGCTTGAGTGGCGTGGAGTCCAGTCGAGGCAGACTTTCCATTCTTCATGAGGCTGTCCGGATGTTTTGCAGCTCCTGTTGGCTTATTACTCCCGTCATTGCCACGATCTCTCGCAGAGCGTGACGTCATAAAAGTGTGATGAGGCTCATCCCTTCACAATTTGTCCCAATCCATTCGCTGATGCGTTGGGTGCATTGGAGGCCCGAAAATTTTCCATCCTCGCCAAGAAGAGCCCGCATTCTTGTAGACGACGTCTCCGTTTTTTGGCATACCGACTAGATGCGTGCATAAAACCAGGCGCTCACAATTGAACGGTTAGCTGTCTAGTTGTGTTAGTTATTCTCCTTGTTTCGCTTAAAATACCATCTCAAACTTTTCCCCATGGTCACCAAACGCCCCTTGGCCTCAGCTGCTGCCAATGCCGACCGGAATGGAGGGAAACAACTCCGTTTTGACCTTTCGCAAATAAAGCCTTTGATTTTGAAGAGATCTGAGATTCTCAGCAGCGAGGTTGCCAGGCTCCGCAATGAAGATATGGATACCCAGCCGCTTCCCTCCTGCCTGAGAACCCGGAGCACCTCTTGGGCTCTGCATCCCGAAACAATGACGCCGATGACACAAGACGAAGCGTGTAGCGTCCAATTCCGATCCAATGTCACCGTGAAGCGTATCCCCTCTCGACATGAATACTCTCCAAGCACTCGACGGGAGTTATGGTCCAGTCTAAAAGAGATTCGTGAGAATGCGTTGCGGAACGAAGCTGAATTCTCCTTCGATGGCTGCAATTGGCGAGAGTGCTGCGAAGAGGACGACATGTTCTATGATAAACGCAGTGATACCCTTATCCACCCCGCACATGTAGAGACTGTTTGCGTTTACAATGGCCGAGAGTGGAAGCCAATTGCCAATGAGGAAACTACTCCCGACCCCACCACTCCGTTGAAGAGCGTTTCACCCAGCCAGGTTTGCATTGTCTGCGACTTTGGAAGTTCTTAATAACACGTCAGACAGAAGACTTGGGATTATCCAATATAAAGCACATTGACTGCGAGTGTGTCAATAGAACCAAGTCTCTCTTAGCAAGTAAGTGCTTATGGCCTTCAGCTGTCCTTCTTCCTACCGTAGATTAAGATTCCCAAGGGAATTGCAGCTTCTAAGGCGCTGCTATATTTTTCGACCATTTGGTGCATGGCTACCGTACCGGTACGAGTTCTCGGGGACAGTGGACTCCAGCTTTCAAGACGCGTTGCCCCTAGAGCTCGACTAGCTACATCATCGTAGAGCTGTCTGGCTGATTCTGTTCACTCCGCTTGTATTTTAGATCGTCGTGAGCAAGGAACGGTACGCTCTTGCCCATGCGTACATTTTCACGTCGTCAAAGCAAGCTCTTTTTTCAACTGAGGTATCTTGTTCATTCGGTCGGTTCTGTGAGGAGTAAAAGGTACCGCAGCGCCATTGACTGAGCTTTTGCCTGGCTAGGTAGGAGTAGTTTTCAATCAAATATCATTATTATGTTCTAAATCCGTTTACCGTTGTTCTATCAATTTGCCCTCGTTTGTACGGAGCATTCGATTGCGTTGAATTCACCACTACAACTTTGGGAGCGTTGGCAGCAACCTCGATCTCGCGCCCTCTGTTGCTTTCTTTGGAGAAGCGTCGACAGACACCTGTCGGCTTGGAAGTATCGGAGGACGAACCAATGATCTCAGGCGCTTGAAGTCGACGTCGCTTGGGGTCCTCTGGAGATCCTCGCGCCGAATGTATTGGGCAGAAAAGGGGAGAGTGCAGGCTCGAGCTAAAGTAGGCGGCACTGCAGCACTGGAAGGCAGATGGATGGCACCAAGAGGGAATGGGTTTTCTTCTTCTGTGTCATCTGCGAAGGAATTCATCGCTGTTGAGCCACGCCGAGCGGGAATGCGAGGAGGCACTGAATCGGATCTTCCTGCCATGGACCCACGTCGAAGGGGCTGCCTTGGAGAGGATGAGGCGGATGAAGGGTTCCTAGATGAAGTGCCGTTCTTCTTGACCATCGTTGTGGGGTAGAAAACTTCAACTTCTGCAGTCTGTTCATCTGTTGTGACGGACCTCTGCCTATGAGGGAGCCTTGGAGGAAGAGCAATGGTGCCAGGGGTGAAGGCCAGATCAATGTGTTTCATGGTATAATGCATGCTCATTATGCAGGCTGGTTGACTCTTTTCGATTGCGATCATTGCAAATTATGAGTTCACTGATTGTGGTTTTTGCCGCAACGAAAGCCGGAGAGGCAGACAGCCCATCATTCGCGTTCCTTCGGCTCCATTACTACCGGTAGCTAGCTAGTGTCGACGAAGCAATCTTGTCCTGGATGAAGTGGTACTGGTATTACTTCAACGAGCAACAACATGTGGCTGGCTGGCTAACCAGCTTGTCACTCGACATCAACTGAAACTACTTGGTGTCTTAGCACCAATATTCAAGTTTGCTCTGAGGAAAAGAGCTGGAAAAGAAAATCAGTCTTGGGTTTGGTGGTCTCCTGCACTTCGGAAGCTTTCGTTTGAGCTGTTCTGATGTTCTGATTCGTTCGTCACTTACTTCTTACTTCTTCCCCTCACTGTAAAAAAGACTTTGAATCGCTGATCCACGGCAGAACGGGTACTCGTACCGGTATGTCTGGTAAACTTGAAGGCAGAACAGAAAATTTAATAAATAATGAATGCTGGCTTTGACCCCTTGGATCACTGCTTCTGTTCCTGGGAGCACAGTCTTCTACACAATTAAGAAGCCAGTACAGTATTCCAGGTTCCATGGAGCAGGGAGTCAAAGCCAGTGATCCTACCGGTACCGTAAGCCAGAGATCCTTTCTGTTCCAAATTGCAAGTTCCAAGTCATACGGTACCAATTACCCCATAGCTCCCCAGCGTCCAAGCCAATTTGCGTGGAGGTGCTGCACAAAAATTTACGCCACCAACAGGGTGCAGAGACCGCCCTTCAAGATTGAAACTGGCTGGGTGGCTTGGTGGCCAATCCTGGCAAGCGTCGAAAGTGAAGGCCGCCTTTACAGTGGTGAGAGGCCAACCAACAGCACGTAGGTACCAGTCTAGCTAGCTAGTAAGCATGATGTGTGGTCTTTGGACTTGGGAGCCTATTAGCAGAAACAATTTGACATTCAGCTGAACTCAAGCGAACATCATTTTGTGAAGTTCGTTACTTTCCGTCACCCGTCCCTGTTGGAGTGAAGTTGTGAGTTGGCCTGAGTCGAGTGCAAGTCGACATCATGAGTCAATGTCACTTGAGATTTGACATGGTTACAATCTCGCAACGGCAATCGGTGAAGAACAATATTCATGACAGCCAGCGCATTATCTAGAATCTAGATCTGGCCTTGCAGCTCTCTAGGGCCTACTCAGTACGTCAATACGGCAACCTTCACTACATGGGGCTCCAGGCAGCTTCTACGCCACACCGCAAACATCCAACCGAGTTGAGAGGTCCATCGACCTTCAGAGCCGACTGGCTGAGTCGAGTCACCCTTCGATTCTTTGTTCAAATAGCCACCATCCATCCGGTCAAGTAAACCAATGCGAGAGCTACGAAGGTCCTCCATTGCGGTATTTGTCCTCATAAAGATCTAAGAATTACTTTTTGCTAGAAGGGAATGTCAATGTGACTGGGCAACGCGCCACTTTCGATCGACGAGTTGAGCTGCTTTCTAGATTCTGGAACAATTGCCATCGATGGAAGAGGCTTGGAAAGTCACGTAATCCTTCCCAAGAGCATTGATGGTCCAGTCATCGGCGTGGAAGCTGATCTTCAGCTTTGTTTTGGATCCAGAATACAGCAGCTGTTGAAGTTGCAACTTCTTGGGGCTCTCCAAAAGGCTAAACAATATGCTCGTCAGATCCCTGTCACAGGAACTTGCACTAGCCGTGAGACTGTCCGATATTTCGGAGGTAAAGGTACTGGAGCTGGTGCAGAAATCTTTTCGGTACCAGGAAAACACATTGGATACACTCAGTTCTCCTTTGGCGGTATCTACTTTGACATTGGAGTCTTCTGCACAGAATGCCAGTGCCGCGATTGTCAGTTCCTTGTCCAAGTTCTGTGCTGTAAAGTGTGGCATGGCAGATGAACGGGCCCAGATCAAGTGTGTGGCAAAGTACACACGGTAGTCCGCCGGAGAAGCCAGATCTGGTGATCTCGTGCTCATCCTACTGGAGCGTCGAAGTGGACTGCTGCCACCATCAAATGACTTGGTCCTCTTTGGGAACATTTTCCTGTTGTTTTTGATTGTTGCAGGGTCGACTGATTTACGACGAGCGGAGACGGGCTGGTCGCCCCCAACTTTCCCTGCGGAAATCACGCTCAACCAGTCGATAAAGCTGTAGAGTTTGCCCCCCACATTGAATTGGATTTCGCGAAGAAAAATTTGCTGTGTAGATTCTTTCTTTGGAATGCCACGCTTGAAAAGGGCGATCTTGAGCATGATGTTGTATACATTCAAGCCCCACGCCAATAGTTCCTTGGGCTTCATGGTGTCGAATTCAACTGCTTGAAAAAGACAGATGCCCTCCTCCAGTTCTCGAAACAGGCTCTTTTGTTTGATACCTTCGCTATACCGGATCCCGCCTCCATCCTCCAGAGCGTAGCATTCTCGTTCTAGTCGCCCCACGAGCACCTCGAGACGTTCCACGAGAGCCTCTGCTCGTGCATTGTCCCAATGCATTTCTTCATCGCTGACCAAATACAAGGAATTGAGGATGTGCGGCGTTTGGTGCGCCTGGAGCCTATAAAAGTAGGCTTTTGTGTCTTGAAATCTGTGCTCGAAGCAAACATGATGGATAATGTTGTGTTGGCCGAGTTGCTTGCCGATGTCCTCTGCCTCTTCCCTGGTCTCTGTTTGGAAGTGCTTCATCAAGGCAGCCACGGCTGCAGTACCAGTCACGCTGTTCTTGTAACTGGTCAAATGATAAGACAACGTACCCAGAGGTAGAACCTCGGAAAGCTCCTCGATGAGATCGGAAACGGTATATGTTCTGGCTGTTCCATCGGGCAACTCCAGGGTTACGGATGGAGAATCGAGGGGTAGAGCAGCCAAGGACGAAGACTCTGAGCTGGAAGTCTCTTCCATCGATTGAGATTCGGGCAATGCCAAGTGAGGGTTGGATGGATCTGGAAACCGTGCAATCTGAGATTTGTACTTTTTAAGAGGACTTGCATGGCGGGTGTCATGGTCCCACTCGTCCAGCAGCTGCAGTGTGGCGTCACACCCTCCAATATACCGAGTGTTGAAGAAGACTTGGGGAGTTGTCATGCGTCTGGTGAGCATAAAGACGTCTGATCTCTTCTCGGGATACTCGGTCAAGTTAACCTCACTGAAAGGAAGATTTCGCTTTGTCAGCTCATGCTTGACTTGCAGACTGAACAAGCAGTGGGTTGCCGTAAAAATAGTGATGCGTCCCATGGTGCGATGGTATATTATGAGCAGAGGTTGGTATCTTCTGGCTTGCTACGGTAGAGAGGCGGTATTGGCTTGGCCACTGAAGGTTAATGATCTTCTTTGATTTAATGAGCCTATGGAGATACCCAAAACATCATCGACAAACAAAATGGTTTTACGACCGTACCGCTCAATTCCTACACAGCTGTTGCTGCTTGAGCACGGTTGGTCAGCTGTTTTAATGTTGGTCTCTCATCTGCCATCCAAGTGCTTCCTGGTCGTCTGGTCGTGAAGTCGTAAAAGACTTGTTAATAGTTTAAAATAGCTTTGTTCTTTACCTCGGACTCAGTCATTATTAAATTTGTCTCATTATTAATATCTATTTGCCCATTACTCTGGAGTATTTATTTGTCTAATAGAAGCCAATCTTAGAAGGATTTACTGTAGTCGAATCAAATAGAGACATAATTCAAATAATGACTAGTACTCGAGTAAGCTTTTTAATGGATGGTGGTTTGCTCTTCAATCTTCAATGCTCCAATGCTTCAATGGGAGATGGGAGTGTGGAGTTTGGAGTAGTATTGGGAGACTATTATAACATTATGTAGAAAAACGGTCCGGTGAATTGGAGATCGACGACCGCGCGCTATGGACGCGCAATTCCGAGGCGAAGCCGAGTGGCGCGTACAGTAGCGCGCAGGCCGGAGATCTCAAGACGAGGACGAGGCAAGAGGCGAGGCGCGAAAGGAAGGCCGAAGGCCTGGAAAAGCGCCGAGACTCGCAGACGAGATCCGAGGCTGGCAATGAAGAGGGCCGTCATTTGTGCGTAATCTGTACAGTGATAATCCGAGAGATAAGCTGTTAGACTGAACATTAGACTGTTGTAACTCCCAACTGCTCCATTGAAGAAACTAACAATAGCCCATCATTTGGCAATCGACACAGGAGCAGAAGCCATCTCCATTTCAGTAGCAGTCATTCACTCGAAAGATTTACTCCTGTAGGACTCATACTGGATCTACGTGAGATTGACAAGATGCCGATGATTGGAGAGTTCGTCTTCCCTGTACAGACATCTCCTCCCAGTAGTGACGATGACGAGGAAGAGGAAGATCAACCGGAAGAACGTGGCTCTCCTTTGACTCAGGGAACTTGCCGCGGCAACGCTCCTTGGCTTCGCCTCAGCTCCTCACCCTTTGACACAAGAACCGTGCGGCGACACTCTTGACTTTGCCAATCCTCATTCTCCTACTCCAGCAGATCCAAACGTCTTCAATCCATGCTCGAATGTACCATTGACTTTGGTGGAAATGGAATGAAGGAATCCTCAAATAACAACGACCTGCAGAGTCTCCTTGGAAAATTGAGAAATCAGGAAACAGACTCAACCAAGAGGAAGATGAGCCAACACAAGAACTCCACAAGAGGAGCAGCCAACTCCACTCACCGCCGCTGCCATTGCTGGTGCCTTGGAAGCTGGAAAAATATGATCCATGGAATGACTGAAGATGATCAAGCTGTTGGATGAAGCTAAAGAAAAGGGAAAGTTCCAAGGAACATGCTGCAAAAATTACCCGGTGTGTGAATCGGTTCTTCAAAACCATCAAGGAAAATGGAGGTGACATATTGGCGAATCTTTGAAGCAAGAACCGGCTAATTATGCGATGGAAAGAAGATGGATTACGCCTTCTTCAACATCTTGAGTGGAGAAAAGAACATTGACAAGCACAATTCTCAATCATTGTCTCGTGTTGTGCGAATGAAATGGTTATGCTTGAGTGGACAAACAAGGGCAAACCACTTGCACCAACTGTCTTCGTATACATCAAGTCTTGTTCTTCTTCTTCAAGCTCGCGGATCCAATACAAGTACAAAGAAGATTTCAATGAGAAGGGACAGTTCACGGTTCATGATCACCAAGTGGTACTGATTCGGAAGAGGATCCAGTTCGGAGTCAAGAATTATAAACTCAGCGATTGACTGGGATGCGGATGCAAGATTCGGGAGGCGATTCTGACGGAAGACTCCAACCTGGACGAATCGCAGCATCTCCTGTACGTTTTGCTCTATGTGCTTGGTCGCTTTTTCCTTTTCGTGGAGGCAAGGAGATGGCCTTGAACGAAACATATGGAGGTGTTTATGATCGAAGACTTGGAGAGCTAGCGGCAATGAGTATGAAGATTCGTTCTCCCGGAAGAAAGACCAACCGACTAAATCTCGTGAATCCATCGGCGTTGAACAAAGATGATCGCTGCATTGAGTGTATGGAGAATCCGCATGAGAACTCTGTCGGTCAAGGTCATCCGTTTTTCAAGGGAAAGTGTCATCCAACGCGGTCAAGTTCTTTGCCAAGATTGCCACCGCAAAACAGCGAAAGGAGTACCACCAAGGCGAAACGTGATGTTTGGTTTTGTCCCGCGAAGCACGGAGACACAAAGAAGAATCTTGGCTACCACAACTGAATGGGTTACAAGGAACTAGCGAAGATGGGTGGCTTGACCAATTGGGAAGACATTTCCAATAATGGTTGGCGAGCGTACGGAATCAAAAAACTCCATGCAGCTCGTGTCGATCTCAAGACTCGATTGAAGATGGCCCGACAACAAGTGCGAGAAGAGTCAACTTCCTTTATGCTCGCTTTGACAGTTGAGGTCTGTTCAAAGCTATCAGGCTTGCGTGGAGATGACTTGATGCAAGATGAGGATGACGGACAAAGCACGCTGCCAGAGCGAGGAACAGACTGCCGCAAAGGAAAGAAGAAGAAGAAGGCAAGGTCGCGATGGGAGAGAAATTCTCGAGATGTTTCCAACCGAGAGAGGTGCGACCCGTTGACCGAAGGGAGCAAAGGACCAAGCAAGATGTGCGAGATGAGCTTTTGGCGGAGTTGGCTCGGCGAGATGCCACTGGATCGGTGGCAGCCGTGGCTAGTTTTGGTGGTGGTGGAGTGGCAGTGTTGCTGGATCGGCGGTTGGGGGTGGAATGACTGGATCGGTAGTTGGCGGCGGGGTTGCGAGTTTGGCTGGAAGTCAGGCGAGTTTCGCCAGCGGACAGATGATGACGGTCCAACAGCCGCAACCACAGCAGCAGATGGCAATGGCTGTCCCACAGCAGATGCCAATGACCGTCCCACAACACAGATGGCGATGCGGTCCACAACAACAGATGGCGATGGCGGTCCCCAACAGATGCCGATGATGATGCAATACCCGATGATGGGTTTCAATCCGGCCATGATGGGATTGGGATTTGCTCAGACATATCTTCATCAACAATATTCAGCCCAACAAGTCGGCCCACAGATCATTGTGCCACAGATGCAACAACAACCCATCTTGCCACCAATTTGCAAGGACGCCGCAACAACAACAAACGTATGTCGTGGGTCCGAACGGTACCATGGTTCCTGCAGTTCCTATGATGCAGAATCCACCCAGCAATCCTCAGGGATAAATGCCATGGCGAAAGGCAATGATGTCATGGTAAACGAAGACGATAAAAGCGCCATGGTGGGGCAATAATGAAGAATATTTGGAGAACAAGGGCATAGGTTTCCCTTTCGATTTTTGGATTGTGAAATTTATGAGAAATGAGGAATGCCGATAGCTGGGATGGTTGGAGTTGTTCTCATTTGTGCTTGGGAGGGATCGTCAGTTTTTCCTTTCTTAATCATCCGTTAGACAATAACCATCACGATAGCGGCAAATACAATCTTCCATCATCTCGTGCAACCAATATATGTAGTAATTATCTCAGAAAATGGAAGATCCGGATTGTGGCTGAGGATACGGCAATTGTTCGTTTAATCCCAGAAAATGAATCACATGCTTCGGCAGACATCACCCATGGTCGCTGAAATTTGCCGGAACCTTTAAAAGTCCGTTGGGAAGTTTGCCGGAACGAAACAAGCACGATTGATCGTTAAGAATCTTCCAACACGTCTTGAAGATTGCTTTTTCCAGCGATTGTTCTTATCTTATAGTGATTTCTCATGATGTGCGATTTTTATTGGTACTATTTTACTGTGTACACATCATCCTGTGACATCCATCATGAAAAATACTTCACAGAAAAGAAACCGTCTTGAGAAACGGTTGATTCGTGCAAAATTTACTATGAAATAAGCAGTAAGATGCGAATTGAGTCTTACTTTCCGTTAACTCCGGGTGTCACATGATAAACGGTTGAAAAGGAAGATTCCGAATACGATTCACCCTACTTTAACGCTTACATCTCATCCGGCAAAATAACTGTCACGTAGAAAATGTACCAGTTCTACGAGGATATCACCGGACAGATTATACTAGTAACTAAGAGAGCTCTCGTAAGAGAGTCATCAAAGAACAAGCTTCAGCCTAACAGGTACTGTAGCATTTTTGCAGGGCAGGCAAAGATGACTTTTGTTGTGGGCAATCCAACCAGCCAGCAGCTCAGCCAGCATAAATATTATTCCCTCATCATACGGTAGGTTCCAGGTTTCAGGCCTGGGAACGAACAGTCGGCGGCCAAAGGTACGATACAGCTAATACCACTCGAATTCTCTACTTTCATACGATCTCTACTTTCTACTTTGTAGATGAGGTTCTGGATCCGATTGATCTGCAGCTCTGCTCAGGGGGGTGGAGAAATCCTGTAACCATCACCAAGATGGTGGTGGACAGTAGACAGTGGCTCGTTGAGGGCTGTGGCTTTGTCAACTGTCAACCATTGTCTTTTTTGACAATGGTAAAAAGGATAATTTGGCGCTAATGAGAGTGGTTAAACAGCGTTCAGAAGTGGTGGACGGGATCATTGTTCGTGAAACTGTGGCAGTGGTGCAAAAGTGGTCACTCCGCCTAAAGCCCAGGAAGGCACCTGGTTTTACCCGCTTCGCCAAAAAAGTCGCGATAGTCGCGCTAATGTCGCGGTAAAGTCGCGGTATAGTCGTGCGCGACTTTCAGTTGGAACCAAATAGTCGCGATATAGTCGCGGTAAAGTCGCGGTAAAATGCTATTTATTTACAATCAAAGTCGTCCTAAAGTCGTTCTAAAGTCGTTCTAGTCGCGGTGAAAAGTCGCGATAAAGTCGCGGTGCGCGACTTTAGAACGACTTTCGCGACTTTAGAACGACTATTGACTATTGAGAGAACCTGGTGGCTTCCAGGTGGGTCGGTGGGCATTAATTTTCTCCACCTCCCTGCGAGGTGGATGTCATCTTTCAGGAGATGCATTGCTGCGCGTGCTCAAGTAGTTTGCTTCAACACGGTTTCCTGCATACAGTGGTGAGAGCAAGAGCTGAACGAGTAAGTAGTGGTGTTGAGCTCGGGCGGAAAAGAGATGCTTGAACTTTCTACACCGCTTGCAGAGCGCTGGCTGGTGCTGGGCAGCACCTCGGCGAAGAGGGGCTCCCCACCTGTAACATGCTTCTTCGAACTGCCATGGCAACCTTCGATCTACCGGTATTCGAGTTTGCAGAAGGGACAGGCAAAATGACCCTACCGGTACATGTATGATAGCTACCATGTACGAGTAGCTAGAAGCTGCAGAACGAAAGAACTGCACAGGAACGAGCACGGGCAGCGTCGCCCCCATGGTCTGCTCTTGCTTTTTATGCTGAATTGACGCGTGGGCGACAAAGAGAACGAAAAAGGTACTAGTACTACTGTACCTAGCTAGTGGCGGCCAGTTGCTTCACTTGTGCTCCATGTTCAGTGGCGCAGCTCTTGTTGTGGCCCTAGAAATGTTGGGGACTTGATCAGGAACAAGGCCCCGTCCAACCTGGTTTCGGCTCCTTGCCTTCCAAGTTGCTGTGCTCTAAGCCGTGCAAAGACCAGCCAGCATCGCAGCGTACAAGTTTGCTTGCCTCGGTCTGCCACTGGCTGGAGCTCTTGACACAAAACCGCCCCAGCCAGTTCCCCATTGTTCATTGCTTACTCCTAGCTAGCTCCCAGCTCCCAGCCTTCTGCTTGCTCCCAACATGACTAACAGTATGTTCGCAGCTGCAATGTTGCCTCGGCAGCAATTGCACTCCAAGGCTCTGCTTATACTCGGCACCATGGCTCCAATACTATTCTTCTCCACCCCTCTAGTGAGTCGACTTTCCTCACGGGTGGTGGATTGGTCCAAACAATCGATTGCCAGTCTCGGAGCCTCGATCCCCAAGGTCCACCCCATAGCTTAGCTAGATAGCGCAGCCAGCCTGGCAAGTCACCACTAGCAACCCATTTTTGACAAGCAAACTACGACGACTAGCATAGAGCATTTTTGAATCAAAACGTTGCCTTTTAAGTACGCCACTAGCTAGTAGTTCTAAAACCTTCCTAGAATTTAGCATTGCTGTTGTTGTTTTGGTTCATCATTTGTTGAAACTTTCGCTGTTGGTCTTGCATCATCGCTGGGGTCATGTTCATGGCGTTCATTCCCATTCCACCACCAGGGTTCATCATCATATTATTATTGGGATTGCCCATCATCATCATATTATTGTTGTTCATGGCGCCCATAGGCATTCCACCTCCCATCATCATTTGATTTTGCATCATGGCCATCATTTGTGGGTTCATCATATTCATATTCATGTTCATATTCATGCCGCCCATGCCGGTGGTATTGCCCATCATCATCATTGGATTGGTACTACTATTGTTGTTGCTTTTGACGCTGGCCATGCCGCCACCCACCATGGAAGGTGGCATCCTCATTCCGGTGTTTTGAGGTCCTCCGCCCATCATGGAAATGGCCGAGGCATTCATACCCGCACTGGGACCTCCCATGATTGGTTTCTTGCCTGCTGCAGATGGTTGCGCTGACGACATGGTGTTGAGGTTGGGTGAATTGTTGGGTAGAGAGGACCCAAAAGCACCAAAATTAAATGGATCGGAGGAAGCGGGAGCAGGTGCTGGTGGCTTTGCGGCGGCGGCATTGTTGTTGGCATTGTCACTAGCACCAAACGCGCCAAAGGCAAATGGATCGGCCAAATCACTGCTACTGCTTGGAACAGCTGGTTGGCTGGTGGTGGTTGTTGTTGGGGCAAAGGCGTCAAATCCAGCCGCTGGAGCCGGACTTGCTGCTGCTGGCTGTGAAAAGGCCGCTCCAAAATCGGCACTAAACATGTCCACATTGCCAGCAGGAGGAGCCGCGACGGGAGCGCCTGCAGCAGGAGCTCCAAAATCCAACAAATCGGCCACAACAGGTGGTGCCGCGACGACAGGTTGACGGATTGGTGGTGGTGGTTTTGGTTGTTGTTGTTGTGCTCTTGCCTGTGCTGTGGATGCTGGTCTCCGAGGAGTGACAATGGGTGCCTTGCTGACGTGGGTCTGCCTGGGTTTGGCAACAGCAGGAGCTGGAGCTGCTGATCCAGAAGGTGCCATTCCATCGTTGGGATCCAATTCTCCATAGTACCGTTTGTGCTCGTAGGCTTCTACAATGAACCGCTTGTACACGTTAATGTCCATGCCAGGTTTGGGTCGACCACCGGATCCCTCGGGAGGAGCATTCTTGAGCCATGTCCGACGAGCCATGAGATTTCCTCCTCTGGCTAAAGCCTCGACTTCGTCGTTGCTCCAACTCGACATGGTCAACGACTTGCATCGATGACTAATCGCTTGATGACTCGACTTGCATTCATTGCACACAAACGTCAAAAATTTAATGCACACGGTGCCAAACCCAAACTTCTTTTGATTGCCACAGTTCGGACATATTGTATTCGTCTTGAGCTTGGCCAGTTGCTTCACTCGCTCTTCCGCTAAGGTGGGCATGGTGACAGATTCAAGGAATGTAGGAACGACGAGAGACGAAGACGAAGAGCCAATGCGTTTGTGCTGTGTTGGTCTTCACAGGTGAGAAAGAAAATGCCAATGGTCATCTTTGGCCGTGGAGTGCGCGATTTCGCGCATTTTTCAACTTTTTCAACACACGGCTTTCCCGGTTCCACTCGGACACAGTTGTCGGGAGTTGCCTCGAAAACATAGACTGGCTAGTGATGTTTTTGGTCGAGGTTTGGGATCTCTGCTTGCGGTACCGGTACTTGTAGCTACCTGGTACGGTAGTGGGGTAGTGGCAGCCAGGAGCTACTAGTACATCACTACACTGTGTAGTAGGCTGCTTGCGAGTTGAGGTTTTCCCGCCGCCCGAGGGGGATTCATGATGGTCAGGAACCAAACAAACAGCCAGGTTTCAGGTTTCTCTTGATGAAGAAGGGGCGAGCTGCCTGCCCGTAGCCAGATTAGTAGCTTACCAAGCGGCAACTTTAGAGAGATGAGGAAGTTACCTTGCTTCAACCTCCAACTTCTATCATTTCAAGTTCCCTTGTGTTCACGTAAGCTGCCAACATTCACCCCTTAGAAGGAGCAGCATCCACTATGGTTGCAGTGGCGTAGCCATGGAGTTCACTCATGTAGATTCCATGAAGCAGTTGCACACCCTTGGGGCGCATGTAGCCGGTGAGCAGACTTGTTTGTTGGGAATACCCTGATCTCCTTCGGGTCAGTGCTGCGTCGCCTGCAAAGACCGCTCGTCTGAATCCGTCAATAGACTTTCAGTTTTTAAAAGCTTGCCAAGCGGCAACTTTTGGAAGAAGCTAGAGGTTTCAGGCAGCTTTTTGAGGGGAACAAAAGGCCAGGATGCGATGCTGACATGCTTTGAAGGTAGAGTGCTGTAAAATGCGGGCCTGTGCACTGTACGACAACTTGCCTGCACTCTTGCTAGGCTAGCTAGGTTGCATGGTTGGAGTCTCGACTCAGCCACTCAATCACAAGGGTGACTTGTATCACTACAATGTTGAGCTCGTAGTTACGGGAGGAACTTTCTATGGCACGCAAAGTCACTAAGTGCTGTAAAGCACGGAGGGGGGCGCTCGTTCCGTGCGCTCGTTCGGTGCGAAGCACACATACATGCTCTAGCTAGCTAGTATGATAGTGGTCCTGGGTTGCTGCAATCTTCTCTTGGGGGTGTCACAACCAACGCAGGTCATATGCGCCCGTACGGTACCAGTCATGGGAGACAACATGGTGCGAGTTACACGCCGCAGCGGTCCTGTGGGTAGGTTATCCTCCCAAATTTGTTTTTGATGACCTTCTTCGTTGGTTTGGGTCCCCAGCAAGCGATCCAGACACTGTTTGCTTTCCTGTCATCAGCCAGGTCTTTGGTCCTACAACTTTGATGCTGGTTTGGTTGTCACGGAGTACTGCATTCATTTATTTCGTCAGCCAACTACGAGTACTTCCAGCGATTGTGATTGCGATCTGTTTTTTAGTGTCGACGCCAGCGGTTTCATTGTTCCCACCTGAATGCAAGACCATGACGCTCACCTTTGGGCAATGCAAAGCTTCCCGACGATACGAGAGGCTTGTCATTGTAGCAGCCATTGCCTTGTTGATTGCGCTACTCGAATGCGGTCTCCTCCCGAATGGAGGTTCGCTAACCTCGCAGGGAAACACTGTGCGAGCCCTAGAAACCAGCAAGACTCATCGTCAGAACCATACGCTGGTGGTTGTGACGGGGCATCTAAGAGGAGGGGAGAGGGCATGGGCCAGCTCGTATAAGACTGCGCTAGATGTCAATCACGGAGATCATCTGGCCCTTGCGTTTGGCTTCAAACACAATAGGAACAAGCCGAGTACGTAGTCTACAGTAACAAATATGAATTTGACGACCGGATGTACTTGATTGTTTGATCACAAAGGATACCAACTTGCATGTGTCATGATTCCTTGGGTCAGGTGTACCTGGAGGCTGCAAAGAGCGTCGTGGAAGTGCTATTGTCTTTGGAGCAAGAAGTGGTGTCTTTCCAACCAGATAGATCAAGTAAATTTGCGCTCCACATGAATTAAATATGACCACTTTGTGGCAACTCGTTCGTCCAGCTGGTTCTACTTCTGCGAAGCATGACTGCACCGAACTTGACCCAAAGGAAGCTTGACCCAAAGGAAGTTTGGTGCAGACCATGGCGGCTATTACGTGTAGTGCACTGCGACCATATATTGGACCATACATGTAACATTGGCACGGCGTACATGTATGTTATTGCGGGGCCCCAAGGCATGTGCCCTACGCCAACCCAATCTTTAATTCAACCAGGACCATTGATACCAGTGTGTGTAGTCTACTTGAGTGTTCTTTCCATGGACGAAACAATATTGCGACCAAAGCTACAAGTAATGTTGGATGCGCTCACCCCTCGTGCTTGACACCACCACTCGTTTAGAAGAAGGGGTGCATTGAAATCATATGTACGGTAGAGGAATACAAGAAGGCCCATCATGTCTGTTTGGAACTTGACAAGGATGTTGATTGCCCATGCATGATGAGGAACCCAGAGCCTCGGACCTGAACTTGCTAGCTTGGCACTTGGTTGGAATGCAGAACATTGGTAATATCCTCAACCCTTTCTACTCAATCTTTTAGCGCGAATTTTGCGGTTGTTCGCCCCGCGTTTGACCGAACGGAAACACAAAAATGAAACTTTTTAATGCAATAATCGTCAAAATGTAATCAAATTATATCAATATCTAATTTAGCCTTTTTGCCAGAAACACCGGCCTCCAACGGTTTTGGAGTGGCCAGCAGCAATGCGTAAGTATTCAAAAAGAATGCTCTTATACCGTTATCTAGTTCTTCGAAAGTCCGGCTTCCTCGAAGGCTCACAAAAAGCCGCGAAAATGTTGTCAACGAGAGAGAAAAAGTGGTCCGCCAAGTGAGTGAAAGGCGCCGAGAGTGGATGACGAAAGGATCGTTCGTTCTGTGAGTGTGAGGTGCGGACCCACACATCTTTCTTCGAGAATAGTGGAGTTGCCACACATCGCCATCACATCACTCTCGGCATTGCCTTGATAATAATCCAGCAAGCCACACAGCCATTATCATTACCACCGCAGCGGTAGCCATCATTCCATTCCATTTGCGGCGGTAGCAGTGTTTGTTCTTGCGGATCATAGAAAGCAAGCTAGCTGTAGACAACAACGTGTTTTTGTGAATGTTCTGTCATTGGCATCTTACTACTACTGGAAGAGCCACCGTTTGTCTCTGGATGGACACAAGACATCACCATCAGCTAGCATTATCTCGCAAGGAACTCGACACAAGCGAGTGAGAAAGCAGCATCGAAATCTATTTGGGACTGAAGCAGCAGTGCTGAAGTGGGGATACCGTATATATTATTCTATAGTGTGCTGAGGATCATTTTCTGTTGGATCCAGCCATTAGCTACGCAAGCAAACCATCAACCAATCCATCCATCCATCAGACAATCAAATTGTGGAACCAACTTCAACATCAACAACAACAAGAGCACACAAAAGCTACCCACTAGTCCTTCTTTTTATAGATGAATCTATCCCCAACCTCAGACCATTCAAACCGTTCCATCATGGCACCTACCGATCCACACCCCGCGGAGCATGACCAAGAAAAAGAGTCTCGCAGCAGCGCCACACCCAAGCGGAAACCTCTCATGGTTTCCACTCCTAGATCTACGGCAAAAGGCGACAAGCCATCGGCGAAACAGTCATGGGCTGACTTTCCCTCGACCCATCATCCAGGGGCCCCATTTTCACCTGGCTTTGCCGATCGATCCATGCAGGTAAGCAAGCGAAGCAACGTTCATTTTGTTGGAGGCAGATCGATGCATTGTCGGCGGGAGGCCGTCTAAGTAGCTGCGGGTCGTGGTTTCCGTTGGGCGAACGGCTACTTACAGAAATGGGCCTTTCGTGCACGCAATTTTGGCTCACACCACTCTTTGTCTCATTTCTCTCGTCTCTATTTGGTTTCTCACGACTATCGCCACAATCCTTGCTTGGACTAATGCTTGGACTCTTTTTCTCGACCCCAATCCACAAACGGCTACTTGTACTATGGCGCTTGCTTTGCTTTGCTTTGGCGGTACTGCAATGGCAACTCCACAATCTCCCTCCACTAATGATACATACATGCATTGATCGTACTCGAGTAGCCACCAAGAGAAGACACACAACCACAACACGAACACAATTCTGACAACCCATCACAATCGATTCATCGAACCACATCTGGTGATTATCACGATAACATGGAAGAAGACGACGACGACATGGGCACTACAGACTACTTGCAAATGCCAATGGGATCCTTTGCGGAAGAGTCGCCTCCGCGACGTCGAACGCCCATGAGACCAGACGACAAGACGAAGCAATCGCCACGCTACCCCTTTCGAGGATATCATCAAGGCCACTTGCCACCGCCCCCACCACATTATTACTCATCGTATCCACCTCCACCGGCGTCTCATCCCCTGCCGGCATCCAAAGGTGGAGGCCATGCCAAACATCCTGGTCCTGGATCGGCACCACCTCATCACCGTCATCCTCCTTATCCGTACCATCCTCCCTATCCACCACATCCCTATTACCCACCTCCTCAGTATCCACCGCATCAAGTCGGCGGTGATCCATGGACGTCACCACAAGCATTCGACGCCCCTCCAGACTTTGATGAAGTCAAGGATGAGACGGATAATGATCTAGCCAAGAGTCCCGAAAGGAGCAACATCAAGGATGCCTTTCGAAGCTCGCCCATGGACGATTCACCGGAACAACCACCGGAACCAATTGATGGTCCCATCTCCAACGCCACACCCGAAAAACTAAAGCTCAGTCGATCGCCCTTTCGTTCTCCTCCAATGAGTCAAACCAAGGGCTCGCTCTTTAATGGCGCATCCACACCATTGGATCGGCTGGGTAGCTTTGGAATGCTGGATACACCCGGTGGGACCTTGGCGGCAGAATTCTCACCCATGGGACCCGTCTTGAAGAGTCCGTTTGCCGCCACCTTTGGAGCGACACCACCGCAACTGTCGCTCTCACGATCCAACTCGGAAGAGGCGCTGACGGCTGCCGTTGAGGCTGATGCCGATTCCAAAATGGCCACGTCGCCATTCTCGGGATTCCTCAAGGCGTTCCCCCATGAAGATGCCCTCAAGACGAGCAGTGTTGCCGTCGGAGGTGGATTGCATGGAGTGTCGCGATCACCTCTCATGTCAGAGCGTCGACTGGCACAGGCAGCGTAAGTTTCAGACGGAAGGCATTAAACAAAGGACAGCTTAGCGAGTGGATTTTCTTTCTAACCCTTTTCTCTCTCGCATTGCATTGTACAGATCATCTCAGTCCTCGGAGAAGGCTACGAACGAGAAACGAGATGCATCCGCGAAGAAGATAATGGCTTCTCCAATGGGAAAAGCAAGCGGCGCAAAACCACGGCAGCTTTGGAAAGGTCCAGCAGACTCGTCTGGCCCCATGCGATTGGAGCTGGGAGGAAGTTCGAATCTGAAAAAGTCGTTTGATGGTATCAACAGCATGATGCGAGCAGGTGCCCATCCAATGGCAACACCGTCTACAGTGGCGAGGCCACCGTATCACCATCATCACCACCACCATCATCACCCTGCTCGCTACCCTCCTGTTGCGAGCTATCGCCGACTGAATACTCCCATCAAGTTGGAACCTAGCCCTGCATCTAAACCTCGTGCTGCTCCTGCACCGCCTCCTCCTCCACCCCCGCCTCCTCCACCGCCAAAAGCAACTAGTAATTCTTTGGTTGGCAACAAACGCCCAGCTGCACCTGCAGCAGCAACAGCAACAAAGTCTTCTCGCGATGGAAAGATTCCCCGGACTGGTGGAAAAGAGAATCTCACTGCAGCTCCTCCTACACAGCCAAAGCGCAATCCCTGCAACTGCAAGAAGTCACGGTGCTTGAAATTGTACTGCGAATGCTTTGCAGCCGAGTTGTTTTGTGACGGATGTAATTGTGCCGATTGCCAAAACACGCCTTCAAATGTAAGTTCGTGTGGCTGCAAATGGCACTGGTCATCACGTCTATCTCTCTCTCACACAAACACACCTCCTTGTATGGATTCTGTAGAGTGCCGTTCGTGACAAGGCAATCAAGGATACTCGAGCCAAGAACCCAAACGCCTTCAAGCCGCGTTTTACTATCAAGTCAGGGGCGGGGATGGCTGCTTCGGGAACGTCGCCCGCTCACAGTGGTCACAACATGGGATGTCGTTGCAAGCGTTCAGAGTGCTTGAAGAAGTATTGCGAATGCTTTCAAGCCGGTGTGATGTGCGGTGCCAAGTGCAAATGTGTGGATTGCGCCAACTATGCAGGATCCCAAAAACTCATTGACAAGCGGCGCAAAATCAAGGACCAACGTGGCGCTGAACTGGCCATGAAGGTTGCACAGGATGCTTGGAAGGCTCCACACAACTCAGCAAGAAAGATGCCAGTCGTTCGCCCAGCTGTTCATGGAATGAGACCAATGCCTTCACCGGTGGCAACTCCAAGTGGAAGAATGCCCATGGCGATGCCTCCACACATGATGCATCCCAGCCCCGGTGGACACCATGCACACCCATCGCACTACATGCGGCCAGGATATCCTTTCATGGGCTATTCCCCTATGGGAATGCCGCATCATGTCTCACCCTCTGCGTATGGCATGTATCCACCTCACCGTCACGGACCACCGCCGACTCCAACACACATGGCAGCAGCCCAGAAACCTCCAACGCCAACTGGCTCAGCGACGAAAAAGCCTCCCATGCCAGCTGTGAAAAGTGAAAAGGCAGAGGCGTCAAACCCTCAACCAACAGTTAAGAAGGAAACACCACCCAAAACACCGGCAGCGGGTACTGCGGACGGCTCAGTGCCTTCAATGGCACAAATCAAGGATGTGGGCAACAAGCACAAATCGGAGAAGACCCCATTAGTGAGGGCAGTAGAAGAGGCGGCTCCGGCAGCTGCAAAGGTTACGCCCAAATCTCAACCGAGTCTCTTTCAGAAGGTCATTGCAAGCTCCAACTCCAAGTCTCCTCAAATGCAGCCAACACCAAAGGACAAGCCGGAAGTTTCTGTACAGCCCACTCCAGCTGAATCCATTGCAGCTGCTCCAGCCAAGATCACTCCAATGCCTGCCACTCCTGCTCACAAGAAAGGGCAACAAGAACAACCAGTCTTCCCCTTCTTTGGTGACCTTCCAATGGTTTCCGAGAAGACGGCCCTCACTGTCTTTGCCTTTTTGCCAGACTCTGACATTGATAAGAACGCCAAGCTAGTTTGCAAACGCTGGCATCATCTCCTCGCTATCAGCAGAGACAGCAAGGCTCCTGCTGCAAAAAAGTGAGGGCACTATGTAGCAAAACAAAACTAAAGCTAACCCTCTAGCTTACCTATTATGATCCAAACAACATAAAAAATTCTTTCTGCTAATCCAACGCTTATCTATGTAACACCTTCACTGCAGTACTAGTACTAGTAGCTCTTCAGTCTCTCCTGTTGTCGCGTCACCCATGGTCGAATCATTCCTGTGCTACCTGGCCCACAGTCGGCTTCTTTTGATCCTTGCTCCAATTGAGCGGGGTCCATGGAAACTGCAAAATGGGCAACCGATACCGGTTACTGTACCAGGTACTGGTACATGTACCAGAACAACTTGCTGAACAGCTCTGCTGGCCGATTATTAGAAATCGTATCATCCATCTTTGCGAAGCCAAAGGCCACCATGTGGTGCTTCTAAGACGGAAAGGGAAGCCCACAGTCAAAGAGAGCAAGACACAATTTCTACATTCACGTCCATCCTTGTTGCCTGCAATGCCCATCACAAATGTTTTGGTAACAGGAGCCAATGCCGGCCTCGGCAAGGAATGCTGTCGTCAGCTTGCACTCCTCGAGGGTATCGAAAAAGTTTACTTGGGCTGTCGCAATGAAGAGAAAGCCAAAGCTGCCAAATCGAGCTTGGAAGAATCAACAGGAAAAATGGGTGTGTTTGACATCGTCCTTATGGATGTTGCCAAGTTGGACAGTGTCAGAGCGGCCATCCAGGGGTTGAAGAAAGATTCAGTTATGCTGGATGGTATCGTTCTGAATGCTGGTGGCAGTAGTGGAGTGCATCCTATGGAAAAGGCAGTGGGAATTTGTGTAACTAATATCTTTGCCCTGAATGTCCTTGGGCATGCCCTTTTCATTGATCTTGCTATCAAGGAGAAGATTTTCACAGCTGGGACTGTGGTGTTTTCCGGATCTGAAGGAGCTCGTGGCATTCCAAGTCTTGCAGACCCAAGACCAGTGCTTCAAAATGGAGCCGTGGAAGAGTTCTCATCAATTGCAGATGGATCAATGGACGGGCTTGACATCACAAATGTTTATAACTATGTCAAGTTAGCGGCAGCTTTGTGGATTGGGTCCCTGGCTCGCAAATACCCCTTCTCGAAGTGCAAGATGCGTTTCCTTACCATGAGCCCGGGGGGTACAAAGAGTACAAATATATTTGACCCCATGGCCCTGCCCACACGATGGGTTTTTAAAGCCATGTTTCAAGTGATGTGGCTATTCGGCAAGGTTCATGATCTGGAAACTGGTGCCAAGCGATATGTGGATGCTCTAACTGATGAGGGGGGAACCAACTACAAGAGTGGCAGGTTTTATGCGTCAGCAGACGAAAATTCTATCACTGGGCCAACTTCAGATCAATCTGCTATTTGGGATGTGTTTGACAATGAAGTTTACCAAGACAATGCCTACACAGCAATTGAGAAACTGCTCAAATAGACCGTTGTAAAAGTCAGCACCAAATGGCCCACGTCAGGTTTGCACAGGCGAGCTGATGCCACTAGCCTTCTACAGAAGGATACCTTATTAATTCATCAAGCTAGTTGATTATCGATTTCTTCGCTGAACTCTAGACCCAAAGGTTTCGGGTGGGGTTCAAAGAAATCAATTGGGCCCGCCTTTAGCTAGTTCAATCAAAGAGACTTGGCGAGGTGAAGACATATATCTCTACCCCTAACCACAGTTCGTTCCTGTTCGTCTGGCCCTCAGGAAGCAAATGGAAAGATCCGGTGCGCAGGTCTCAAAGATTCGGTTGACGGGGTTTGGAGGCATCCAGAATCGAAGGGAGAGGGGTGAAGGACACAAACCGCACAACTGAAGAGCTCCATACGATCTGTTCCATCCTTATTGCCTGCAATAATGCCCGTCACAAATGTTTTGGTAACAGGAGCCAATGCTGGCCTTGGCAAGGAATGCTGTCGTCAGCTTGCACTCCTTGATGGCATTGAAAAAGTATACTTGGGATGTCGCAATGAAGAGAAAGCCAAAGCTGCCAAAGCAAGCTTGGAAGAATCAACAGGAAAAATGGGTGTGTTTGAAATTGTCCTTATGGATGTTTCCAAGTTGGACAGTGTCAGAGAGGCCATCCAAATGTTCAAGAAAGATTCGGTTATTCTGGATGGCATTGTTCTGAATGCTGGTGGCGGCGGAACAAATCCAATGGGAATGGCAGCAGGAATTGGTGTTACTAATATCTTTGCCTTGAATGTCCTTGGGCATGCCCTTTTCATTGATCTTGCTATCCAGGAGAAGATTTTCACAGCTGGCTCTGTGGTATATTCTGGATCGGAAGGTGCTCGTGGCATTCCAAGTTTTGGAGGTGTCAAACCAGTGCTTAATAATGGAGCAGTAGAAGAGTTCGTGTCAATTGCAGATGGGTCTATGGAAGGTCTGAATGACAATAATGTCTATGCTTATGCCAAATGCACTGCTGCTTTGTGGATTGGATCCCTAGCTCGCAAACACCCCTATCCCGAGAGCAAAATGAGGTTCGTTACCATGAGCCCGGGGGGTACAAAAAGCACAAATGTATTCGACCCCTTGCCCATTCCAATGCGGTGGATTTTAAAAACCACGTTTCAAGTGATGTCGCTATTGGGGAAGGTCCATGGTCTGGAAACTGGTGCCAAGCGATACATGGATGCTCTGACTGAGGACGGAAATGCTACATACAAAAGTGGTGTGTTTTATGCCTCAACAGATGAGAATTCTATCACCGGGCCAACTGGAGACCAATCCATCATCTGGGATGTGTTTGCCAATGAAATTTACCAAGACAATGCCTACACAGCAATTGACAAACTTCTCAAGTAGACTAGTACAAGTGTATCTTTCATAAAGTCATCTTCTACAGCAAGCAAAACTCAAAATCATTGCTAAGGGTACTAGTCTATGTCTGTGCCGGCTGCGTAGCTACTGGCATCACATATATGCACCATTTGGATAGCCTCACAGTGGTCCACTATTTTGGCTTCTCCCTCTTCGTCTCAATGCTGAAATAATCATGAGCGCCAACCTTCGTGGTCTTTGGGTGTAGGAAGGATTCCCAAACTCGATTGTTGGTTGTTTCTTGTGCGTCTTCTCTTCCATTGGCAGCTCTCAGGGGTGCTGACGTAACTCCTCGTGGTCTGTCGTAAATGTCCTCTTCTGACAAAGTGGCTTCTTCCTCGAGCTTCAACGACTGTACTTGTTCTATCATGTGCATCATATTGCCCAGATCCTGTCTAAGCAAATCCCTTGTTTTTGTATCGAGTGGATCCAAATCAAGAAGTGCTCTTTTGGCAAGTTTCTCGAGTTCTATATTTGAAATAGGAGTATGCTGTTTTGTCAATTCCAAATCTTTGACGGACCATGTTGGCTTCGGCAGTGCAAAGGTGGCGGTTGGTGTTGCCGACTTCCCAGTGTTAGGCGAATGCTTCGAAAGCAGTCTTCTTTGTGACGCACCGACTCGAATCTTGCCACAATTTCTCCAATGAAGAGCACCAAAGGCTACAAATCGCCGAGCGAGGTGCTTGCTCATAGGTTCAACTCAGAGTGGACTAGTAGCTAAGTAGTCTATGCGTCTTGATGGAGCTGGGTGTACCTGAGAGCTCGAGTGCTTGCGATTGCGTCGATTGATGGACTTCGTGAGAAAAGTGCGTGCTGCCAAAGCGATTCTGATTTTGCGCCAGCAGAGCTGATTAATGTAATACCGGTACAGCCGCCATTCGATCATCGAATGAATTCACATTCCACCCGTTTTGCAAGTCCTGCTGAAGGCTGAAGTGAAGCCGAACGGAAACCTGGAGTTGATCTTTCAAATGCACCATTTTCTATCTACGTAAAGGGGGGCTACATACATCATTGAGCTGTGCCATTTTAAAGGGATCCAAAGTCAAACTACAGCCAACTGGATGGAGCCTTCCATTTTGGTTTCCTTCTACTAGTAGCTACTACTGTGATGGCTTTGCAATCCTCGCTGATCCCGTTGCCAGCTAGATTTGAGTCTGTGAGTAGGGATTCTCTTCCGCTTCTTCATCAACCTGCTGACCCTCAGGAATTTGGGGTGCAGCTGTGTTCTCCTCCTGATTAGATGAAGTGCTGGTAGCTTGTTTTTCTTCCTCAACCAAGTATGCACCAGGGGTCAATTCAGTGGCGGCGGCTTCCGCAAGGGCCATGCGCTCCATTTCCTCATTCTCGTCTTCCTCTTGCTCCAAAAACCAGTGCATAATATCTTGCTGATTTTGGCGGTCTTGCAAAGCCGCAGCTCCGACAGCCGCAGCTTCCTCTGCCTTACGGTCCAATGAGTCTTTGAAACTCATCTCCCAAAACCCATCCGGAGTGTTTTGCTCTGTAATGCCCTTTGTCCACTTGGTATGTCGAGAATGTTGGACTCTGTCCTGTCTGGCCATTTGGAAATCATCATGAACCATGCCCTGGCGAGCAAACTGACGCGTCACCACATCGTAGAATGCCTTGCACTCTGGGCAGTCGCGACGGTCGCAAGCTTGAACATGCTTTCTCGACCGCCGTGGGTCAATGTATGCATAGTTCGGACTCTGTGGACTCTGCGGGCCGCTGTCTTCCATCCATTCATTGTCGTTTTCCTTGCCGGGCGCTCGGGTGTTCGACCGAACAGGAAGTTTTGCGTCAATGATCCTTCGGTTGGCTCTTCCATGGTACTGAACCGGTGCCCTCAGATTGGTCGTCATTGTTTCGAAGGAATCTTCTGACTTCTTTTCCTTTCTGGTCGATATCCAGCCTTTTTGGTTTGATCGTGTCGGTGCTTTCTTTTTCTTGGGAGCACTCGCTGAGGTCTTTCGAGAGGAGAAACTAGGAACCCGGCGTGTCAAGGTGAACTTTGACGTAGTTTCGCCCTTGCTGGGTACCGCGGCGGCATGCAAAGCCTTCTCGGTAGCTTGTGATGTTGAGTTCTTCTTCTTGGGCTTCCCGCCCTCGGTGCTGTTTTCATGTGACCCGTACCGTGCTTTCTGTGGTGTGCTATCTAGGAGCAGTCCAGGATCACATTGGGTTTCACTACCTTGCGTGTCATTGTGCCGCTTTTGTGGGACAGTTTCCCGATGCACATTGGTGCGAGCTCTTTTCGTAGGCACTTCCTTCGGCGCGGCCATGTTCGCGATACTGCCATCAACCCATTTGGGATCAAACTGAGTTTCGCTGCCCTGAGTGTCAGCAACGGCAGCATTTGCCTTTCCACTTGAGCTCTTCTTCGGTTGAGAACCAGCCTTAATCCCGATGCCGACATATCTGAGATCAAGTTGCGTTTCGCTGGCCTGGGTGTCGGCAAAAGCAAGTGTGGATGCTCCTCCACTTGTCGCTTTGATCGCCTGTGAGCCAACCATGCGTCCACTAGTCCCGAAATACATGGGATCAACCTGAGTTTCACTTCCTTGAGTGTCACCGGCATCTAGTTTGACCGAGCTGCTTTCTGCAGTATGCAGGAGCTTCGTGTCGACCTGAGTCTCGCTGCCTGGAGTTTCATTGATGCAAGGGTCTTTGGTGTCCCTTGTCTTGCCAGGATTACTGGGCTTCTTGGTGAACATCGGAGGGGTGCCAAGCAGCTTGGGATCGACTTGAGTTTCTGTTCCCTGAGTGTCGCCATCGAATGCAGCTTTTCTTGGGCTGTCGCTCACTTCGGACGAGTGCTTTGTTGTTCCAGAATGATGTTGGCTAGTATCGTCGTTCTGGTGTGCTTGGCTCTCTTCCATCTCCACATCAACAACATTGACGACCGTTGGTAGTGAATTGTTGTGGACTGTGGGTTGAGAATATTTCAAGAGGCTATCTTCTTCGTCAACAAACTGCACAGCTTTGGCTTGCCTTCCTGTGTCGGCACGGCCGTTTCTGCGCGTCTTGTTTGTTTTCGCTTTCTCTGTGGGTCGATCCTTGGATTTTACGAGAAGAGCTGCATCATCAAGCTCGTCAGCAGGACTTCCACCCAAGGCGGCATCTTGTGACGAAAAGCTCGAAATCGGAGAAGGCGTTTCAACGGCTTTGTTGTATCGATAGTTGGACTCTTTGCCATTCGGTGCGTCTGGATTCGCACCACCGAGAGGAACTTGTGTACTCTGCGGGGTTCGAAACGAATCAGGGGTTGCGCAAACGCTCTTCGTCGCGGACAGAGAGACCCGATTGACGTGCTTCTGGCGTGGTTTTGAGGCAGTACCGCTTGTAGGATCTTCGCTGATTTGTTGCGGTTTGCTCTTGTACTTGACCACCATGGGAGTTTCATACGATCCAGCGTTCTCGTCGTCAATCTCAATGCCGCCCGATAAGTCAGTGTTAGGTTCCCGGCGACGGCGTGAGCGCTTTTCGACCTGCTCTTCACTCTCCACAATCGTCTTCCGTTTCTTGGCTCCAGGAGTGTGCTCAGCATTCTTTGCTGCACTGCCCTTCTTTTTCGATCCGATGGTTGATTTCCGCCCGGCACCTGAATATGTCTTGTTCTTCGCTCTTTCAGGAACTTGAGGGTAAAAGTCTTCAATCTGTTTCTGCTTCCTCTCGAGCTGAATCGTTTGCTTTCGGGTTGACATCCACTGATTCTCTTTCGACTTTTTCTGCCGTGTTTGTCTCCACGAGTCAAGTGTACTTTGACTCGACCGCCGAGATGCCTTGGAAGCATTGTCGTCGTCATCATCGCTCCACAAGAGATCGCCTTGGCAATCTTTCGACGTGTCACCACTATCCTCTCCGGAGTTGTCATTTTTGCCGCTCTCAGCTCCAGGCAGTCCAGCCTCTCCCAGCTTTTCGACATTGATTGGAGTTTCAGTTTTTGACTCGTCCCGCTGTTCAGCAGACGTACTTTCATTTTCCAGCTTGTCCGTTTCTCCCAAGCTCGTTGCTTCATTCGTGCCGTCGCCGTCACAAATAGCCATCTCCAATACCGCCAAATCATTGTCGTTGTCTTCGCTGATGGGCCGACCGCCAGGCTCGTTTGTTGCCAAAGCTACCTCCGCATCAACGACAGGACTGGATTCTCGTCCTTTGCTATTATTTCCTTCGACAGGCTCTTGTGGTGCTTCCGATTGCTCATGGGATGCTTTCGCTTCCTCCTTTTCATTGCTGCTACGATCCAAGTGTTCAGTACTGGTACCAAGCTCCGCTTCAGATGGCAACTTGTTATGAAGCGGTACTGCCACAGTCAGTGACAACGTCGTCTCCTGGCTGGATAATATTGTTTCTTCGGCCTCGTCCCTTTCCGGCTGGTCGTTGTGTATTGCTGTTTCCTCCTCCTTTTGCGTGGCGCTGGCGGTTGCTTCCTCGGTCATCTCCAAAGTTGTCGATTCTTCTTCAGCCTTGTCGCCAACGAGTTCATCCGATCCACATGAATGCTTCGTGCCCTCTGGACCAGTGGAATGTGCGGATACATCCCCATCTACGTCGTCAACCGACAAGCGCTTTGGTTGAGAACCATGATCCTCCTCCTCGTCGCCATGATCTGACTTCTCTTTGGTTGATTCACGTTGAGCAGGACTATCCCGGTCGTCATTGTCGTTCTCGTTGGATGCGGATAGCTCTAATCCCAGAGCCACAGAAGTTTTGTCTTTGTCGTCACATTTCTCTGCTGCAGTGGATCTGCCCTCACCAGGCATATCTGGAGCATCAGCAACTAGCTTGTTGATGTCCGTAGTAGCAGCATTCGCCTCCGCCGTCATCCCCTCAATTGAAGCGTTTGAATTGCTGGCGTGGTCTGCCGATGTTTGCCGGTTGGCAATTCCATTCTGGCTACATTCGCCGTCCATGTTGTTGTTGTCATGGTTGTTTGTGGATGGTCCGTTTTCAACTGGCAAAAGACCGGAAGGAGGAAGATACGTCAATGCAGGAAAAGGTTCTTGGATGACTCGCAGCAGTGCCTCATCAATCTCAGTTTCACTGGTGATAAGGGAGTCAAATGACAGTTGCATGATTTGCGCTTGTCGTTGCAACATGACGGGGATTGACGCCGTTTGGATGGTCTGATGGTACGCTTGTAATTTCTGTTTCCAAAAATAGACTTGACAATTGAGGCTGTGAATAGTCTTATTGTCTGCAATCTGCTGATGGCTGCGTTTGGTCTGTTTTTCCTTTTGCTTTTGGAGTGCTTGTTCTAGAATAGTAATTTGTTTGTTTTGTGATGACAGTTCTTGTTCGGCCCGTTCCCATTTGGCTTTGTACTGTCGTTCTACTTCTAGTTGTTGTTTGAGACTCGAAATTTCATTGCTTTTTCCTTCCAGTTGTTTTTCCATTTCTTCGACGAGTGGGTTGATGCATGTAGCTGTATGGTGGTTGTTTTCCTCTGGCTCTGGATCTTCCTGGCGAGGAACAGAGGCATCGTCCACAACATCTGATGTATCTTTTGTGACTTCTGGGCCTTTGGAGGATTCGTTGGGACTACGATTCTTTTGCTTTCGCTTCTTGATGGAAAAGGAGGAAGTGGAAGTGGTGGAAGCAGCTGGCTTTTTCGCATTGATTTCGTCCTGGTCTTTGGAGGCTGTTTCTTTGGGTTCTTCATTTTTGAAAGGTCTTTCCGTGGATTCTTCTTTCGAAGTGGATCCTTGGTTACTTGGTTTCTCATCGTCGTGATTAGACTTCGTTTTTTCTTCGGATGTTCCTCTGCTGCCTCCAGCTGTTGTTCCAGCCGCTCTGGCCCTCTTGCGTTCTCGGCTCCTGCGCCACTGACGGAAGCGGTCCTCCCCGTCGCCACTACGAGACTTTCGTGTCGCTGCGGAGGATCTGCTGTCCGTAGCCGCCATGGTTCAACTATCAAGTTAGACTAGACTGGTTGATGACACTAAACCAAAAACAGCACTCTCCGTTCTCTCCGTTCTCTTCGCGCCATCCCAAGAAAAGTGTTTGAGTCTCGTTCGGGACCGCGTTTCAAAACTGGCGCGGTGTTGTCGTACAATGTATGTACATATGTGCTGGCGTCTAATCATTAAGGCTAGAGTTTATACAAATAACAAACAAAGAACCGAAGCCTCAAAAACAAGAAACTCCATCCAGAACCCCGAACCCGGAGCTCCCCATATCCCCCGCATCATACCGGTACCGGTACCGGTACAGTCGTAGTCCACTCTGACCACCATGTAGTCCGGTAGCCCGATCTCATCTCAAAACAACGACAAAACCAAACCACAACCCAGGACAGAGTGCATAGATTGCTTTCGACTTTGTTAACTTGAAGACGCTTACAGTAGTGTAACCTTAGGAAAGTGCGAGGTTGCTTCCGACATTGTCAACTTGCAACCGCTTACGGTTCAATCTTTGTAAATCGCAATCATTCATTGAAGAACCCCAGACGTGATGGCAGACGACACAACCCTTCTCAAGCCTACGCATCGAAAGGACGATAATGTACCTCCCTTCCAGAAAGACATGAGGATTGGTTGGTTGGTCATGTTGACCTATTGGACCGTTTGCGCTCTCGTTGGACGTGGCCAAGGCTACTACGATCTGCTTGCGAAGCCTCAGCCAGTGGAAACTTCCAGATTATGACATTGGTCGTTACATTGATGGTGAGAATGGTTTTGAATCCTCGCTATGGACGCTTTGGTCGCCGAGTCGATTGGCTGGCAATCGTGATGTATTCCCTTATGAATGGAGTCTTGGAGACGTTTGCGTTCCTCTTTGCGTACGACCTTGGTCGTCACCTTGATGTGGAATCTCTCTTTGGATGGCACAACAAGAATGATGAGTTGATTGGATTCCTGATTGGATTCTCCATCTACTACGTTTACGCAGGGTTGATCCATATTGTTGTGTGGATGCGCATGGTGTTTCCGCAGCATGTTCTCCACGAAAGCGCTCTCCCATTCCATACCCATTGCTTGCCATTTCTCACGCTGCAGTCTATCGCATGGCTGGTGCTTTATGAAGCAACCAATGATGTCTTTTTCATTTGCCTTTGTCATTGCATCACAGACATGGGCCATGCTTGGACCTGTGCCATGCCCTACACAACCTGGAATGCCAACGGAGCCTTTCTTTTGCGCGAGTGAGCAAAACCCTTTGAAGAAGTGAGAGGGACCCTTCTTAGTACTATGGGTGAGCACAGACATCTTGGTTCACTGCAGATCAGTCAGGATTCAAAACGGCCACCAGAATGCAAGAACGTGAGAATAGTGGTGAGCTCATCTTTTAATAAAACATTTTCATTGCTCTTGCTTTATAATTTTTGCGCGTCTCCCTGAGTGTCTCAAAAGCGCCACCCATGCTATGGTTGGGGACGAACCAGAGAGGAGGAACCATATCACAAATCATGAAATCAGAAGACGTGGTTGGAGGGCTGAAGAAGCACTGCTCGTCAATTCCTTCAGTCAGAAAAGCCAACAAATCACAGTGTCATGCAACAAACTCCCACACTACAGCTTCGGGATGAATTGGCCACACCTCCCCAAGTAAATTCAAGGGGTTCTGAAAAAATCCAACTACTGTAGTCTAGCTACTGGAAAGCCTTGGCCTGTAGAGGATGGTACGTACGGTACCGTACGTAGAATTTCCATTTGAGTGGGACCGGCTTCGGATAGCTCTAACCTAACCATCCATGACCTTTAAATAAAATTGAGCCACCTTCAGGGAGAAACAAGCCAAACAAAGAATCAAAGCACGACTCGAGCCTCCCTCCTCATCACAACCAAACCACAACCCACAACACTCATTCAGTATTCCTTCCCACCAGAAGCTGACTAACCACATCAAACAAATACCCACATGAACCCAATTACAGAATGTTTCGCTGGTCTTTGCCAATGTCTCTATTGGATGATTTGGCCGATAGCATCGCTGGCACTAGGCGCTGTCAGTGGCGTTATCATCGGGACCATCATGACGGTACTCGTGTTCGCCATTACATTGATTCGATTACCCATGCACATGGCCAAGACATTCTACGTCGCTGCCACCACGGAGGAGTGCTACGAACGCTGCCAATTCTTTGATCCATTCCTACGAATCCTTGTGTTTCTATTGGTGCCGATTCCACATCTTCTGTGGCTCCTGGGAACCACCCTCTTTGCAGCAACTGTGGGAAACCTCTATTACATTAGCCGAACGACCCGTACGATCTTCAAACATCAATATGCCAAAGCATGTGGATACGGAACCAAAACAGTAATGCTCGATGAAGACTCTCATATTGGAGTCTACATTCAAAGTTGCAGAGATTTCATGGCAGACGACGGGCCATCACTGGGGATGGTTGAGATGCTCAAGGCAATATGCTCCTTTCTTCCCGGTCTTCCTCTGGGTGCCTTGCCATTCATCCCATTTACATTGCTATCCTACTCATTACACTCTTTCGGCTGCCCATCAACTTTTTCCAATCCGTGAAGATCACAATCATCACTTGACACTCCAATGGGACCTCAAGATATTGGCACTGCTCATGCTCCCTTTTGCCCACACATATTTCCTCTCGTGGTGTTCTTGCATCCCTCCTCTTTAGTTTTTTCCACTTTGTATCTGCCACAACCATCAGCATATTTGAGAGCAACAGCCCTTTTGAACGTTGGGGTGATTTTGGCAACATGACCCGAGATTACTACCCAGGCGCACCAAAGACTTTGGTCGGCGAACGGTAACCTGGGGAAATAAACGATACATCCCACTGGAAAATCCCACAGGGGTGGCAAGGCAAACGTATGGATTACCGATACACAGCATCATTCAATGGCAATGGGATTTCCTGGTGTGCTGCGGCCTGTTGCTACTATCCATCCCGACTTGTCTTGTCGGTTCCATTCTGATTTTTGCCATCAAGTTCATTCCTGGCACAATGTCCTGGTGGAGGACGCAGTGTGAACACATGTCTCGAGAGGAAACAGCAGAATGCCTGGGTTGTTGGGCGTTCTATGTTGCGGGGTTGGTTCTGACTCCCGTTGCCTGCGCTAGTCGCATCGGCCTTTGGTGTCTTGGGGCACCTTGCCTCGAGTCCGAGTCACTTCCGTCTACCTCCGATATGGATACTAGCTGGGATCTACGAGCCATTCCATGTCATTCATGATGTAGACTCGTGGGATTTCTTCTCACTGGGTGGATTCCTTGCATTTGCCTGCCTCGGTGAAGACAATCCCCACAAGAACGGCGACAACCGCCAACAACGCAAACAGCGAGGAAGGGCCAACAGCCGATCCGCGAGAAAGGCTGCCAAAGGAGAATCCAGAATGTTATCGAATGCTTATTGGGACCGATTTGCCAATCAATGCATTCAGACTACCTTCCAGTTGATGGAGAAAGAGTGGGTCACACGTGACCAGGTGCAGAGTATGGATTCTGCAGTCATCCAAGCCATTCCCGCCGTTGCTGTCTTGACTGTTCTCGTTGACACTGTCCACGATGCAAAGGCAAAGAAGCCAGAGGATCTATCATGGAAGATTGATGGGACGATGTGCAAACAGTCAGACCGCCCGCCACTGGATGGCATCGCTGCCCTCCTGTTGCCCAAACTCATGGAGGTGAAACGGCTCCTTGAAACAAAGAAGAGCACCGCCAAGGAAGCCAACGTGCAGAATATCACTGCAATGATCTGTTCGAACACAGATGAACCCACTCAAGAGCTTGAAGCTTTCATCAAGTCTCTCGAAAATGACAAGAGCAAGCCAAGTGCTAGGAACAGTCTGATTCGGGCCAAACTTACAGAGCTCACATTAATGATGTTGCAAGTGCAGCCCTTTCTTGATCGAATGAACATTATCTTTGGTTACAACTACGCTCCTGCCCATGATCTGGAGAAAGACGATCCAGGGATAGAGGCAGTATCCGGTACAGAGAACCAGCCAGCGCACCGAAAGAAACAGCAAACAGATGGGAGTGAAGAGGCCCATGGTGAATCATGGATGACACGGGCTCGGTGGCTCTTTGGGCATCAAGCTAGCTAGTCTTCCTCGCGAGAGAGATTCAAGGATGTGCCGCACCTTTCAAAGGACGTCAGTTGCGGCAGAGGGTGCTCTTACAACGTTTGTGTCATCTGAGATACCGCACGGTGTGCTGGGTTTCTGTGTGGCTTTGATGCATCTGGTTTGTAGGCCTTTTCGTGGCTGCTGCACGTGCAGCCCGATGAACGCATAGATTAGCTTTGGATCAAACAGTTGTGATGGAAAACAGCTGTCTCCATAAAGAGGCAAACAGCATCGATAGTTAGGAGATACCGGTGCTCTACGGAGTGGTTCCTTCGTTTTGATTCGCTTAGTCCACCAAAACATTGGACTTCCCGTTTGGAAGATGGCTGGCTTCCACTGCCCTTTGGCTCCGTATTCATCGCCAGTTGCCTAGCTGTGGTGCCGGTTGTTCAAACCGGCACTCTCCGCACGAGAGAGTTGCTAAAGCAGTCTACATGTAGCTTGATCGGTGCGGCGGAGCGAACAGTTCGAAGAAGCAATGACTTCGGAGGCCCGGGCCGGACATACCACATTCTGTTTTGTCTTCATCAGTGGAGCCCAGGTACAGTGTGCAAATTTGAGAGCATCTTTCGGTGTTCCTGGTCTGACCAGGTTCGACTATCGTCAGTACTACCGGCACTGTTCAAACAACCGAATGAAATGGTGAAATATTGGTTAGGGTCTGCATTGGAGAAACCACTGGGGTTGTTCCCGGATGCAGCATGACACCCACGTGAAAGTGTCTCGCAGTTCCTTGTCAATTGTCAAGATGATTCCTTCGTCAAGTGGTACTTTCCAAATTATTATGATGACATTATGGTCCCGCCGAGAACATGAGGACGTTGTCGGCGCAATCCCCTTTTGAAAAGCTCGCACTCCCAAGCTACCGTACCCGGTAATGTCAGCTATGGCTCGTACTATCTACGATCTACATCAACCACCCAGCTCTTTACTGGAGTTCGTTTCCACAAAGATCCTTCGAACACTTTCCTGCCAGGCTCTAGTAGACCAAGTCGTTTCCTGCACTGCCAACGCCGAACCAATTAATTGGCCTCATCGAAGCTGAATCAGGATTGATCTTAGAAATTAGTAGAGCAACTTTGGAAATTAAATTCTAGTTTGAGCGAAAGGTTTGGTTAACTTCACGAAAAGAAAGGTCCAAAAAAGGATAAATAAAGGCTAAGAACTTCCTTTGAGGGCGAAAAATGATGGTATCTTTCTCGCTGTAGATAGTTTCAGTTTCGCTGTACATGCAGAAGCAGCTTCAGCAGCCGAACTCCATGGTGGTACACAGCTCTTGCTCGGTGGTCATCATACTTGAAAGACGAGTAGTTTCGACATTATAAGGGGGGCTTAGAGTAGGTAGATTATCTACTGCAGTTTCGAACATGAAAGCTTGAAGGTACCGATTGCAGTGCTGTATCTTTGCTTCATTATTGCACACCTCATCTCATTAATTCGCGCTCTGCACAAAACACAGCAACACAACAGAACAAGATGGCCTTCCCAGCAACCAAAAAGAGCAAAAACACCAACAAAAACGACCGCGTCAGGCGAAGCGATAGAATCCTCCGCAAGAGTAAGTCTAACGTTGATGTTGCATCCGCTCCACTGGGGAGTTGCAATGGGGCAGCCTGCCACACGATGGATGATGCGGACACTGTCGGCGTCAACTCCTCGTGGCAGAACCGAAAGGACACCATGCTGAAGAGATGCAAGACATACCCCGTGCCGAAAACTTGCGACGATGTTGGGGCTGTGTACCACATGCCCTGTAGCAACCACTGGGATCAGCGAAAGTCAGCTCTAATAAGGTCGAAAAGTTTGAACTCTGGGGAAAGCAAGAAGGCCAAGAGGCGGGTTAGAAGGATTCCGAGGGCCAGGAGACAGAAAGAGTCCCCACCGGTGCCGAAGGCAACCCCAGACCCAGAGCAGACGCCTGCCCCAAGACCTTCGTTTTGTCGGTGGCAGAGTGAGCCTCAGCTGCTTGTGGAGCTAGAGGAGGAAATTCAAGTGCAACAAGGCAGCGATCAGAAGATGACCCGATGGGATACCGGTACTGGTAGTAATGGTAGTCCAAGGCGGTGCACGAGTTGCCCCCCTGTACCTCGGCGCCCCTCAAGCCCTAGCAAGGAGGACGCTGACTCCGCTACAAAAACTTATTCTCCCAGAAAGCCGCAACGGCGTGCCTCTGTTACCAAGGAGGACGATCTTTTCCCAATTGGAAAGCCAACGATGGCATTCGTGGGGGAAATGACTGACTACGGAAAGGATCTAATAGTGGAGGATCAGAAAGTCAATGTGATCAGCTTTGCGGCATAATCTTTTATTTAAAAAGCATGCAGCAACTGGCAAGAAGTCAGATTTTTTATGTGCATGCTTGGAACATTGCTACCGCGACACATTCCAAGCAGCATCAGCAACCAGACCATTTGGTTTTTCGTTTACTATGAACACTGCTTAATAATAATAATAAGTGCTTTACAAAACATGCGAGTTCAAGCTCGATAACTCTCTTTTTGCGAGCTCCCCGCTCGACTTTATACTTCGACTTCCTCCACAATCTGAGGATCGGGCACATTCTCGAAAGCAGCGTCAGTCTTGCTTCCAGTGTCTTCCTCCCCGTCTTCAGCTTTTTCGTCCTTATAAAAACTGCGTTGCTACAACAAAAGGATGGCGATCAGTCCGCAGACCCCACCGATGACAATCCAGAGGGCAGCAGTGTACTTGACATAATCCGCACTGTCAATCTTTTCAAACCGTTGGATACCACCGCGACAGTTGTACCAAGCTGTGACCAAGAAAGCAACAACATGGCTGGCAATACCAAGGAATCGAATCGGTGCTCGGCTTCAAACATCCGACGACTCAAGGTCTTGGTACCAGGATCAGCATCGTGTTGTCCTCGTGTATCGCCCTTTCCCAAGTTAGCGTTGGATGGCGCGGGAGGATGAGGATGGAAGATACCCGTCCACACTAAGTCTCGGTCTCGCACAATCATGTACTGGTACTGATCATCCAATACAGTGGTTCCCGGGAGTTGGACTAATTTCTCGAAACGGTTGGCCAAGCAAGTGTGACCGAACCGGTCGTTTAAGCCAGCAAGTGGTCTGAAAGCATGTCCTTCGTTTTCATACGACGTTTTCTCCCTTCCCGCCCGCCGCGCATGACGACATTTTTATGTGGTGGTTTAGGGTGGTAGCGGTACCGGTAGGCTATCTACAGATTCATGACATTGTTGTCCATGGCCAATTTGAAGTGAAGAGCTAGATAGCTGGCACTAGCTAGCTAGACCTAGCGAAATTAGTCGGTACCGGTACATGTATTGCAAAACTGCCCTTCCGCCTACCTTCACACAACATTGCTGAAACGAGGAAGCCACGTGTGGTCATCGGATAATTCCGACAGGCAATAATCGGTAGTCCAAATAGGACTCCGTAGCGGTCCACCAGTACATCATGCAAATAACGGTCTCAGACAGCAGCAGCAGCCAGCAACAATCCCTACTACCTGGTACCCAGGTACTAGTAGCTAGAGCCCGATTGCCGAAAAGCTGAGGGGAGAGGTGCGGTACAGGCAGCTTCGTTTTAAAGATTCAAACGCGTGCCAGGTTTTCTCGTACACTTCTACGAGAGCTCGAGTAGATGTGTACCATGGAGGTCGGCACACGTTGCATCAATAAAATCGAAGCTGCTCGTACACTAAGCAGAAGCAATGATGCAGCAATGAAATCGAATCTTCAAATCAGAGCCTGCCTCTACTACCAGGTACCGACGCCGCAAACTCTTCATCCCATCGACTAGCACCCAGGCTGTGCGTGTGCTCTACTGCCACTCGGTACCGCAACGAAGAATACAGCTTTGGATATTGATCAGATGCCACGAAAGAGGCAGAATGTATCCTCTAGTTCTCTCTTTTCCTTTTCCTGCTCTGTAGTGCTAAGAACTACATGTACCTTCTAGGCTACCGCCCCGCCAACCACCAACCCCGCCCACATTGGCTGACTCAGTTGTGGCTGTGCCTGCCTGTGCTTTGATCGGATTCAATGATCTGATCAGTTCTCATGTACCGGTACTGATCACACCTCGTCCACTTCTTCTGCATCCTATGAAAGTCCTATTGAGTCTTTTGATGGACCCCAAGAAGAGAGCACTCAGTACGAGTAGTCGTTTCTTCCCCTTACGTTAAAATAGCCTCAAGAGGCTCCAGCGTGTACATACATACTAGTAGTACATGTAGACGTAAATGAATGTCGCGCCTATTTCTGTCGGGCTGAAAACGTGAGCTTCGGCCACTGCTCAGTATGTGCCGTACTGGTAAGCTAGACTACTGGAGATGAGAGTTGTGTACCGGTACCGGTGATTGTTGGCTTTCAAGATCTCTTCCCCTCTTCTTTGCAGTGATGGATGATCCAGCCAAGTGCTGCGAGCTGAACGGACCACAGGAGAGGGGCTTTCTACGATCAAGTTCATGCTCTGGGAACTTGGAATGAACTTGGACAGCCAACCCCAAGATTCGCAGTCACAGCGACTTATTGGAGATTCCCCATCAGTTGAAGAGTTTTATTGCCCCTGCGCTCTATTCTTGTCCGCGTGTTGATAGAGAGTAGGATCTCTAACTCCTGTTAGCCAAGACACAGAGCACTTCAAGGTACTGGTGTCCAAGGCGTGTACTCTTATTCTCATACTAATCTGGAGTACCGTTACCGAAGCAACGCTTTTTACCAGTGCCTCCCATTCACTAGAAAGTTCAATGAACGTTCACGAACAGGTTCGTGAACGGTTAACCAAGGAGGTTTATGAAGAGGCGTTCATTAGGGTTGGCCCATTTCATGAACACAGTTCATGGTTCATTGGAGTGGTGATATTAGTGAGCCCCACCATGAAATCTGGTTCACAAAGTCAATTTTTTACTACTAGTTGCTTTTTAAGTACAACAACTGCAATTATAGATGTCATCATCATCCTTCCTGGGGTATTATTCCGAGTAGATTCATTAAGATCATGCATTAGTACTTTGCTGTCTGGTTTTGGACTCTCAGGAGGGCCATCTCCTGGGCCAGATTGCCCTTCCTCCGTTCAACATTGCTGCAATTCCAATGGGTAGTTACAACACGGGATATGGCTACAGTGTGGCTAGCTACGGTGTGATGAGCTACAGTGTGATGAGCTACAGGTACAGTGTGATGAGCTACAGTGTGGCTGTACCGGTAGTTCATTGAGGTTCATGAACGAGTGGTTCACTTTCACTGGATTTGACAGCAAAAACTGGCTGGTTCATGAAAGGCAGTTCATATACTATCCGGTTATAGTGAACAATTTCAATGAACACGGTTCAAATCCAGATTCTAGTGAACGGGAGGCCCTGCTTTTTACCATTGCAAACGCGTCTCTCGATTTAACGATTCATAATGATGGAGTCGTAAAATCATCATGGTGTCGTTCACTTAAGCCAAGATCGTGGCTGGGTTCTTCTCCTCCTTCTCTTTTGGTCTTTTTATAGTGAAAGAGTAGAGCACTAAGCGGAAAAACTCTGTGTGACCGAGAGGAAGTTTTTCGAAAGCAAAGCCTTTTGAAGGTCTTTGATTGCCACTCGGGTGCCAGAACCGGATGATACGGAACTTGATACGGTACCAATCCAAAACTGTGAATCCTTTGTTGCGCTGTCCCCGTGGCAATCGACACCACGACTCTTTGGCCACTCGGCACCCTCTTGGCATCCGAGATTCCCCGTTTCTTCGCTTCACCCATCAAAACTCTTTCTTCTCACAAATTCATTCATCTCTTTTTGTGTTTCCTACCGCAGCTAGCTACTTAGATAGATAGAAAATGCAGAGCCCCATGACATGCCAACGGAGCAACAGCTTTGCTGGACCATGTGCCTCTATTACTACAAGCAGCCCCTCTTCGGTCATGATCGACTTGCAATCTCCGATTCGAAGAAAGTCCTCTAGTGATGCCAACACAAGATCAGATTGGAATCGCCGCAAAAATGCCCTCTACCGACGATCCAGGACGGTACCCCTCAAGGCGCCAGTCTCGTTGGACGACGCCAGTACTGGCAACGATTCCTGTCGCAGCTGGGAACAACGCAAGGCAGGATTGAAGCAATCCCTGCAAAGCAGCCCTCGGAAACGTGTCCGTCGCATCTCACGCTCTTCGTCGCGACCGTCTCGGTGGGAAAGCGAAAGTCCCGTCAAGAAAGAACAACCAGCCAAACAAGAAGCATGCAAAGATACGACCTGTCGATGGCAGAGTAGTTCACCACGCAGCCACAGCATGAGCCCTCAATGTCGACGTCCTATTCGAGAGAGCAATGCAGCAGTGACAGACTCTCCTCGCATGCCAAGACGACGCAATTCCAACAACTTTGACAACGTCAACAACAACATTAGCAGGCGGAAGATGCCCGCAGCGTTTCAACAACGGAAGCGTCAACCAGCTCTCGATGTGCAGGGAAGCACTAGGGATTGTGGTGCAGGACTGGCGAATCTCAAAGCCAAAGTCAAGAGTGGATTCCCTTGAGGGTTTGGTTGGTTCATTACTAGCTAGTATAGGGAAATAGATTGAATAGAATAGACCAGTTATATCAGATCAAAACATTTTATCCGGGAATCCCACTTCTCAAACCACACATTCTTGGTAGCTAGTCTTGTTACTCCATGCATACATATGCGCCCGCGGTATAAAACCAAGATCCTTCGCCCTCCGAAGCACAGAGGGACTGTTGAGGCTGGCCAACAGATTTGCATCCATCTTCAGCCCGAAAGATTCCTTTCTTCGGTGCTGAGCTTTCTCCAGGCCATACCGCCAGCTTCAGAACACTCCCGGAGAGCAATTTTTCCACCCCACCAATCCCTTCCCACAAAGCTAAAGATGGTTAACCAGGCGTCTTCTGGGAGGTCGTCAATGCTTGGTCTTACATGATACCACAGCCAGTTGATCATTTGACGGTCCGTTACCGGGAAAGACCAGTGCAGGGTTTTGCTCCACGATAGAACATTGGTGTCGGGGTACAGTTGTCTCTGTAGAAATGACTTGATCGTCCTTGCCATAGTGCTGCTACCCAAAGAGTGATATGAAAACGTTGCCTTGCCCCTTTGGCGCAATATCCAAACAGCTTTGACATCCCTTCGTTTAATTGCCATGAACCATATAGCGCGGGCCCAAAAAGCACACTTATCATCGGAGTGGTTCTTCCACATGGAGCAAATATCCTCTCCCCGGTGATCAAATAGCGCAGTCATGCTTTCATATTCTCTTGCCCGCACTGCATAATACAATGCATGGTTGTACCCTGATGTGACGGAACAATTGGCTTGTGCGACCAAGAAGATGAGTAGCTGCGTGTAGCCATATGCAGCAGCAGCTCCAACAGCACTTCGACCGACCCTGGATATCTCCCAACCAAGATGGTCATAGTTGTCATTGGGGTCAACTCCACGGGCCATTACGGCTTGGGCGTACTCAATCAATTCTCGTTCTTTGTTGCTGTTGGGTGCTACGATCGCTGTGGGTTATGGCAAACGATAGCATTGAAACTGGCAGTTTGTCAATGTGAGCTTCACTAGCATCCTGCACCCGCTTGATGCATTTCCGAAAACGGCAGGCTTCCAAGTCACAACGGTGGCTTCTCCAGGGCTCACTGAGGAAGGCCATGGCCGAGTTCGCTCTGTCTTCGTTCCCTGGACGCCTCGACGAACGTCGCCGTGGCCCATGTCGCATCTTGCAGATGACGACATGATATTATGGTTTTTGATATCCAAAATACCTCTCAAACTAGCTAGCTAGCCAGTCTCTTGCAAATTTATGGATCAGCGTACCAGAGCGTGCCTTTTTCGCCCCCAAGAGCGTGGAGGTACCCGAACATACCGTATCCACTGTGACAACGCCAACGCCAACGGTCAACGAAGTATAGTAGCAAAAATATTGATGAAACCATAACAAAAATATTGAATAATGTAGAGTGTCGCAATGGTAGCTAGTAGGCTAAAGACAATGCCAGCGCCTCATTCATCACCATGCTTGATGAAGCCTAATCCCACACCCGGACCAGGCCCCAACATCTTGCTTTCTGGGCGCCACTCCTGGTCCCACACCTGGACCTAGCTACCCCTGGACCTAAGCTAGACCCTTGCACAAGGCCAAACACGCATGGTCTGTGTCCAGGCCCCAAATCTGCACCTACCGCTGAACCTCTCCGGGCCCCATTCCGGGCCCCGCATCTGAACCTACACAAGGCCATACCGGTGATTCTGGACCGACCAGTACCCCTGGTTCATCTGCAGCCAGGCCCAGGCAGCCAGACAGGCAGGACCCGCACCAGGCACCAAGCCCAACATCTTTCAAACTGCAGGTAGAAAGCGATCACCATTTCAATTAACTGGCTTGCTAGCCGAGCTGCATGCTAGACAGAGGCTCCATCATTGTGTGAGTGCCTCCTGAGATGGATTTTTTGCACTTCGTGCGCATTTGCCGAGCTAGCTGGCTTGTGGTGACTGGCTTTGAGAAACCAGTGGCTTCGTTTTTTGTGTCCGTTTGGGGTCAGTACTTAACGCAATGACCGTCGAGTCACCGGATTCCGACAAAAACACCCTCCAACCTCCAACTCCCAACCAAAACTCTCTCAAGCTCCACTGGCTGGCCAGCAAGCAAGGGCTGCTCCAGCATCGAGAAGGCGAGAATGGTTGCCAATGGACCTACAGACAATCTAAAGCTGCGAATGCACTCGTTGTTCCCATACCTCCTGACTCCTGATTCTCTGTAGGGCCGACTTTAATCTTGAAGACCAAGAGCAAGAGTGGCACAAGGACCAGCACAGCTCTGTGCATTCATTGAAGTAAAATTTTGTCGACATCAAAACATCGCAGTTTCAATCCCCAGACTCTGTAATAAAGCACCATGAGGCTGAAGCAACGTCGAGAACCCAGCATGATGGCCAAGCTGTTGGACACACCCTTTGGGAACGACAAAGGTACCAATCGCAGACGCAGTGCGTCCTTGTTGATCTTTGTGGTTTCCCTGGTGGGTTCATTTCAATTTCGTGGTTTCGCCCAGGTGAGGACCAGTCTAGGAGAACACTTGGACGGGGAGATCACTAGACGGAAGCAGCAACAAGAAGTCAGAAGTCTTGTCTCCACTTCATCCGTATCAACAAAAACGCCACCGCCAATCCTGGTATTCACACCACCACCACAATATCCCGTTGTGGACATCCTCTCGATTGGTTCCAAACGTCGACCCGACTATTTGTTGGCCCAACGAGAAAGTTTTGCCTCGCATGCATCTGTTCGCCATTTCTTCAATGCCACGGAAGCAGATGATCTGGATGATCCACACTGTGACAGTCACTTGACCACGGCCGATACCGTACAAATTAGTCGATTTTGCAAGGCCAAAGGTTGGCACCCCCAAACACAACTCTTTATGCGATATGCTCGCAACCTATATGCCAATGGAAACTGGTTGTTGAAAAAGGCCAATCCAGTCGGTTGGATGTGTGCCCAACGACGACCCATGCACGGATTGTACAAGGTATTTCAACATTACTTTCAACAACAGAAACTGCTATCAAATGATGTAACAATCAACTCTCCTGCACTGAGTGATTCAGTCTTGCCCGACTACTTGATTGTCATGGACGATGACACATACTTCAATCTGGAACAGTTCCCCATTAAAATGGCCCTGGATGTCCAGGCTACCAAACGTCCACTGGACGATCCCTATGTCCTGGCAGGGTGCCTGGTTCGATGGCCCATCCACCAGATCAACTTTACCTTTGGATTTGGTGGATATGGCACTGTCTTTAACAAGGCATCCCTGCAAAAACTAGCCAAACCCATTCATTGTACAAAAGACGACAGCAAAGAGGCCTGTGCACAGGTAAAACGCAACATGGTGGGGGAGAAAAAGGTGTTTCGAGAAGGCATGAGTGTCCTGGATCTGATTCGTGCCTATGTCAGCCATCAGCCGTACAAGGAATTTCCCAAGAAGAACTGGACAGATGGATTCTGTATGCACAGCGATTGGTACGTAACAAGCAAAAGAAATATTTCATGTGTTTGACGGTGACATGACTCATCAACTTACAATTTGCTCTCTTTGATCATCTTCAGGGTCCTGGGGTACTTTGTCAACTATTACAATATTTCACGCCATACATCCAGCGATCCGTTCTTTGAACATGTGCCCCAAAGCCGCATGGAAGCATGGGAAAAAAGCACCATTTACCGTCAACCCGAAGGATTCTGCAGGAACGAACACAGGGAAAACTGCAAGCCAGATTCCCTCACCTGCCATTACATGAAACCAGAGGACATGAGAATCTACACCGAAACTGTGAAACAAACTGCAGCACCAGGCATGTTTCGAAGTATTAGCTAGTCATGGGACGAAGCTGTGGTGGGCTGCAATTCACTGATGTGCCAATGCGATGAGGGCTCGGACGGTTGACAACAGTGTCATTCTAGACTCAGCGACGAAACAGAAGCATCGAAATCTCCAGAAAGAGCTAGTGGTAGCGCTTGCCCGACCAGATTCATGCTCAGAATGCTTCAATCGATGCATACAGCAGCAAGACTAACGGAACCTTCTGCTGTCATGAATTTAATGTATCGCAAACATATCGCCAAGGTCTCTTGCTAACCAGAGCCACGACAGTACCTGGCTGCTAGCAAAACAATTGGCTCACTTGCAGCTAGATAGTTTTGCCTGGGTTGTGCTGTTGCTAACCAAAAAGACAACGTGTTATTCATTCAAATTCTCCCGTACATTTAATTAATAATACCGCAAACTACATCGGCGTTCCGTATCTTCTGTGTGTTCCTCTGACTCCAATGACCGGCAAGGGGTTTGTATTAGCTAGCTACCTACAGTGTAGCAGCTAGAATACTAGCTCTAGCAGCTCAGTTCATGTTGAGCCTCTTTCCCAAGCCTCGTTTCATCTTGGAGAAGATGTTCTTATTACCACTTTGCTTCTCCTTCTTGCCGAGAAGTCCCCGGCATGATTCTCCCTCGGCAGGGATTTCACTGTCAGTCAGGTATGGGTTGGGCTTGGCCAGATGTTCTCGAATGTGGGAAGAAGGAATGCCAGATCGCAGGCAAATGTAGAGCCGTTCCTTGGGATCGACGATATTGGCTTCTTCATGGCTTCGAAAACCTTCGTACTCCTCGAAAGTGGAAACCCGCCTCTCACAGGGTTCCCAGTCAATGGTCAAGAACGGGTTCTTGTAGCGTGCTTCATCAAGCATCATCGGATACTCACGCACTTCCACGGTATCAAAGCAAACACTGTGCGTGTGACTAGACCCGGATAGCGAGGATGACATGTCAGAGCAAAGAGAATCTCTCTGGGTCTTGATCTTCAGTACAGATGAGCGAGGACGCATAGTGCTTGATAAGTTGCTTCTTCGGTGATTTGTGGGAGAAACAATACGCTGGTAGAAAGATCCGCAAACCACAAAGCTAAAACCCGGCCAGATGACCTAATGAGTGCTGTTCGTTGCCGGTACTAGGAAGCGGTTCTGAAGAGTGAGGAGGGGCTGTGTGCCTCAACCGAGACCTTGAAGGTTGAAGGAGGGACCCACAGCACACAGTCAACTCGAGATCTGTGCATTGATGCCACTCTAGCCAGCGTAGGAACCAGCATACTGGTACCTGCTGCTACATGTTCAAGTTGGGGTCTCAACCTCACCCACAACCCACCACAACATGTACCGGTACATGTAGCTCGAGGGGAACGGGGAACAGGTTGAATGGATGGTGCGGATCTCGAATGATTAACGGGGATCTTCCTTGCCGGATGTACGACATGAGTGTGCCTAAAGCTGCTTGTGAGGATTTAAGCAAATCAGAAAATAGCCACATATGTGACACTCGAAAGGGACGAACATAATTAAAGGGACACCAGGAGGTGAACAACATATTCTGTGAAGCACGACACCGGTACCGGTACACGTAAATGTACCGGTACGAAAACAACAAACACGAGCTCGAGCTTGCAGCCAGAACCGAAAGAAACCCCCTTCAAGTAGTCTACTGTAGATGTCTAGATAGCGCTACGGTACCGGTACATGTATGTAAAAGAAGAAACTAAACAAAACTCAATTTTGCAGGTTCTATAGCACTAGTAGGAGAGGAGGCTTGACAGGCATACCACTGTCATGCCAAATAACCAAGACGTGGTGCTGCTGGCTGACGCAAGTGGTTCTTCTTCGACAGGGTTTTCTGCAACCGTGGCAGAACCTTCTCCAATGTCCGGCAAAGGAGCATTCGCTCCCATTCCAATGTATGGTTTCTCATCTGCAGAGCTTTCTCCTTCTCCAAACCAACCATCTGCCGCATTGCGGTCTAACATAATGGCAAGTGATTGGTCTTCATGAATCAATTGCCAGCCATACTCACTGAATGTTTCTTCATTCCAAACATTTTCACTCAGCAGGGGGTTGACCAAGATGGTACTCATGGCATCTTTTCCTATTGCAGCTAGCAGGGTACCACCAAAGATAGCATTTCCTTCATGGTCCTGAGCTACCAGCCCCACATAGAACTCCACATCATCCACGGTGGTATACAGATCTTTCAACTTGGCCAAAACCTTGGGATCAGAGGAGATGTCTTCAAAGGATGTTGGGCGGGGTTGATAGTCCATGTATTCGACGTAGTCAGCATATGATGCAAACTTGAGGGCTCGAGACATTCGAAGTGACTCTTTTTCTCGGCCCAATAGGAATGAGTCAGTATTGAATAGTTCCATCGACATTGCCTTTTGAGCACTGAGGTCCTCAAACATTTCTCGCAATGAGAGGGTCCCATCCTGAAAGAGGTCGTTCCGTCCCAATGATTCCATAAGGGAGAGTTGCTCACCAGCAACGTTAATGGTGCTTGGTACCATGGTATGGAAGCGATAAAGGACGGAGAACTCAGCAGCAATCCAGTTGGGACGATTCCATGTAGCATTCCAAATCCAGGGGCCAATATCCAATTGAAAGATGGGAACTTTGGCAATGTGGTTGATGTACTCGTGGAAGACGATTTTGATCCCAATGACAATATTGATGTTTCGAGCAGTCTGGAAAACCCGCTCATCATCCCAACTGGGATTGATCTCTTCCAGCGTACCAGCAATGCGGTTGTGCTCTCGCAGAAAGAGGGTAATCATTGATACAATGTTGGGCAGCAAATTAGCATCCATGTGTCCCATGGCAAAGAAGGTGCTGTTGTCTATGTTCTGCAAAACTTGGCAACGACGGCTGGAAGGACTGTTGGCAAAGCGCGTAGTGGCATCTTGGAGTAGGGGAATGAATTGAGGATCTACAGTGCCATCTCTCTGGTGGAGAAAGTGAGGGAATTCTTCTCCATGGAGGATCTGTGATTTGAGCCTGCCTTTGTATCCTTGTGTGTTGTTCATGGCACGAAGGGCATTGGTCTGGGCAATAGTACGTCCATACACAGACATCATGTCCCATTGGTTGGTGCCAGTGTAGTGGTCATACTTGGGAGACCCATCTGAATTGGCCCCGGTTGACACCAAGTTTTCGACTGCAAACTGAGCAAACGTGGCAAACAGCATGGTGGTTCGTTTGGACTCTTTGCGTTGCCCATCATGGCGAAACAGCTCTGTGACGTCTTCCAAGGGTGGTAGGCTATCAACCCATTCCTGATCAGCAGGAGGAAGCTGGCGCGAGTAGTAATTTTGGTCAGTGAGACTATCCCAGCTGGTGTAGGGAGACTTTGCGGAGAGTGCATAAGGTCTGTTCTTGCCTAGGGAAGCAAATTTGTTCGTTGCCTTGCGGTTTGCTTTTGTGAGCATGTCCAATGCAGCTCCAATGTCTTCCATGTTCAAAGAGACTGTCAGTGGCGTGGTGGCAAGTAGCCAAAGGGGGGCGAAGATGGAGATGGTGATTTTAGTCATTTTCTGGATGGTGATTGCTGAAATTGTGAGCTGGTGTGTTCTCTGTTTTTTAGAAATTGATCTACCTCGGCGGTACCGTAGCGGTAGCTGGCTATGGGGTTGGTACGGTAGTAGAGCCTACTTCTTTGTTTGTTGTTTGCATTGAAGATTCGATTCATCCTTCTTTCCCACTTTAATGTGGCTGGGCGCTGCGACTGACTGCGATGACTTTGCAACGAAAACTTTACTACTGTATCAGGAACTGCAATCTCGCAAACGCAGATCAACTTGACGCGACCAAATGAAATGTAGTTAATGCTTTTGCCAAAATGTTAATTCTTCCTCTGTGCAGCGCTCTGACTCCAGCCATGTTTCAACATGCTTGCATCCGTGTAGCTTGCGTTGCTCGTAAAACCTACTATCGGTACAGGACCAGTCCCAAGGTACAGTTGCGATGATCCTTTGAAGCCACAGTGCCTTCTTTTTGTTCTCGGCTACAAAGACTTGCTTCCAAGCTTCCAAGCACCATCTGTTGACCAAGGCTTGGTTGAATCTGTCCCAAGCCCATGGAAGGGTGCTGCAGCAAAGCATTTTTGCTTGTGGCGAGCGATACAGGCAACCAAGCCGATTGTATTCCCTTTCTTACAGACTATTTGAGTGATCGAATCACTCTACTTCTAAACTACCAGTGAACCAGAGCAACAAACCCAACGAATCCAATCCACAGATCCAGACTGCAACGAAAGAGACTGAGAAAATTCATGCAAAACGCTGGGCACAGGAGACTAGCTGTGGCGGAATCAGCGAGGCAGCGGGTGGGCGGCGAGGAAAGCAGCGTGGCAGCGGGGATCGTACGGTGGGGTGATCAGAGGGAGAGGATCAGGGGAGAGGAAATAGGCAGGGTTAGATGAAGGGGCCACAGTAGTCCGGAAGGGTGCAGGAGGGCTAAACGTTACTGTATGTGAATGGTAGTGCAAGAGCACCATCAACATTCCAGAGGAGCGGCGGAACTGGTTCATAGCGGTGTCTTCGAGCGAGCTGCCCTCGGGCCATGTTGCTTGACTTGTTGACTTACGTACTTGCCATTCTACCTGAAGCAATGCGAATGTGTAACAAGGTGTAACAAGGCCTCAAAAGCTTGAGGAAAGTTGCAGCCAGGTCGGTACTGGCAAGTACCGGTATTCTCATTTGATCCTGGCACAAACGGAGGAGCAATGATAAGCTTTTCCCATGTGATTCAGCAGCTTTGACTTGGACATCAGATCTGGCGACAATAGCCGCCAATGTGCGCGCCAAAAAATCTTTCCAAAGAGGCGTTCGGAAACAGGGTTGGATGAAAACCCCTCCCCAAGACTTATGGTTAGTGGTCAGCCCAATTGCCCAATGCCTTCCAACATTGCTGGTGTTTTAGCAGTTTCTGGTTAAAAGGGGTTGCTGCTTGGTGCTATCAATACAGTACCCGTGCCGGTGCGGTATCCTTGTGAAATGTGCTGGTAAAAATTTGTCCAGGTTGATTCATTCCAAATTGAGAGAGACGTACGTACCAGGAGGTGGATGGGATCGGTTTGGGGTCCGGGGATTCCCACCGATTTGGGACGAGGACGAGGGTGACCAGGAGCAGGTCCCTGTACAGGTAGGGTGTGTGGTGTGAGAGGTGCGGTACCGGTACATGTACCAGCATGGTCAAGCTGCCCACTGCCCAAGGACCCTCTCTTCGTCTATTACTTCCCGAAGTGCTTGTTCCTCAGTCATGGTTTGGTGGTTTGTGCCACTCATCTCGAGTCGAGTCCCCTTTCCTCTGCACTCTGCATGCGTGTGCAGCATTGCAGAACCATGTTTGTACCGTACGGTACGGTATGCCCACCACACCAGCCACCCACCACCGCAGCCACTGCGTACGTGACACTGTGTACGGTACAGGGTAATGGTACTACCATACCGGTACGCTCTACGGTACTACGGGTTACGTTGCAAGCAACCATGTTCGGTAGTACCACTACACGAGTACTTATACTGAATGGCCACAATTGGTTTCTTTTGGTCTTGATTCCTAAGTATCATAATAGTCAAATGACTGTCACGTAGAAAGAACGTTCCCCAAGGTAAAGGAGCTTTAAGTATCATCGTGCATTCTCGCCAAAGAAGTCTTTGGGCAAGTGAACTTGGCTGTCCCCGTCGCTATGTAGCTCTATGTGCAATGTTCCATGCCGAATAAGATTGTACCGGTCTGAACTGTGTGCGTATGCAACACTGAGACGGTGCCTGAATTTCCGACTGATTCCTGAATAAAACGCATGCAAAACGGTTTGGCTCAATCACTTCTCACAATACTCACAATTTTGGAGGCAAAGAAAAAGTCGGACTAAAATTTGGCGAAAAACTATTACATACAAATATCAAACAAAGATGCCCACCACCAAGAAAGGAACGAGCTGCTGTTCAACGGCCAACCTGCTTCACAAGCCAGTGTGGCGCTTTGCCACTCTGTTTGGCATGCGGCGTTTGGGTCGCTTGGCCAAGAGGATCTACCCCAAGGAATATGGCGGCACTTTGACTCACTTCGAGACAGACCAGCCCGTTATTGCTCTGACGATCGATGACGGTCTCTCACGAGGAGGACCCGAAACCTCCATGGCCAACGATGTCTTGGAGTTGTTGGCCAAGTACGACAACGCCCATGCCACGTTTTTTGTCTGCAGCGACTACGTGACCAACCAAGAAGATTCCGTCATTGAAAAGCTGTTGGATGAAGGCCATGAAGTGGGAAATCATATGATCAGTGATCGTCTCTTTTACTACAACAAGTTGGACAAGCCAGAGTTCCAAACACAGATGAGACAAGCCAACGCGGTTCTTGATGACCTGGAAGAAAAGCACGGAAAGCAGAACGCAAAGAAGACCAAGAAGACTCGATGGTTCAGGGCTCCCCAAGGCCTCATGTCGGCCAACATGAAGCAGGCCATGGAAGAAGAGGGCAACATGGAACATGTACTGGGAGATTGCTACTGCGACGATTGGTCCTTTGCGCAGGAAGCCGACCCGCTCTTTGCCGCAGAGCTCGATGGCGACGCGGACCCAAAGCTGCAGAAATACCGAGAAAAGGCCATGAAGCAAGTCTCAAATCTCATGCTCTCCCAAGTCAAAGCAGGTAGCATTGCCATCATTCACATGCCAGAAAAGGGATTCCGAGAAGGCAACCTGATGGCATTGGAGTTCTTTCTGCAGGGAATTCAAAAGAGAGGATTGCGTTGCTGCAATCTGACAGAGATGCAACAAATGTCTCAGCTGGACGAGGAAGAAGAAACGAAAGACAACACCAGCAAGGACAGCGGAAACAATGATACGATCAATGAGGAGTCAACGTTGTCGTCGTGAACAAGCCACAGTTTTGGTTGGTTTGATTGACCAACGATAGAAGATAGAAGGATCCTTTCCTTCTATTGCTACATTAAAACTGTATAATACATGAAATGCGTCTTGTTTATTCATTGGTATGACTTCGATAGAGACCCATTATACTACCGGTACCGGTACCAGCAGCGGGCGACAGCCTCCACTTGCAACTGCGTACCGGTACCGGTAATACTTTTGCAGGAGGATTGATCATTCCTTGTGTTTGATAGCGAAGAGCTCTCATTCCATACCACCTTACCGTACGGTAGCGGTATCGGTACCGGTACGGTACCAGGTACGAATGCCTCAGTCGTGTGTTTTATTAGCCCCAACCCTCGTGACTGTTCAGAGCTCATTTTTTCCGTTGTTTTTCATCTCGAAACCTCACCCCCTCACCCATTTTTCTTTCCGAAGCCACAGTTTCTGAAGCACCAACAACTACCAGTACTATTAATAGCTAGTATCATCATCATGTCTTTGCTTACCATCGATGATATCAACCAGCTCTCCTACAATGAGCTTCGTTCGCAATGCAAGAAAGCCAAACTCGGAGGTACCGGGAAGGCCCACGTCCTTCGTCAACGTCTTTTGGACGCTCACAAGAGTCAGAACACCACCCATACGAGCGATTCAAAGCCAAAGGCCGAAGAAGATGACGATGACAAGGCGACGCCCAATGAGCAGAAAGAAGGGGAAAACGAAGGTCCAACGCCCAAGGAAGAGGAAAGAGATGTCGATTCGACTACCAAGAAGGAAGATGAGCAGAATGATAAGCCCAAGACCGATGAAGCCAAGGACGATTCTAACGATAACGACAACGACAACAACGCAACTGAAGCTTCAGAGGCAAACACCAACGAAAACGGTGAAAACACCGAGCCCGAAGAAGACAAGGAGAATGAAGACGATTCAGAGACAAAGACCAATGTAAACGATGGCAGCTCCAAGCCCGAAGAAGACAAGGAGAATGAAGACGATTCAGAGACAAAACACCAATGAAAACGATGACAACCCCAAGTCAGATGAAGACAACGAGACTGAAGACGATTCAGAGACAAACACCAATGAAAACGATGACAACCTCAAGTCAGATGAAGACAACGAGACTGAAGACGATTCAGAGACAAACACCAATGAAAACGATGACAACCTCAAGTCAGATGAAGACAACGAAGACTAGAAGACTTGAATCATTAAGCCAAAGCCAAAGAAGAAAACAGCGACAACAGTGCAAAGCCCACGGAAGATTCGAAGCCCAAAGGAACAAAACTGAGCGATAGTCCAAATCCTCAGAAAGTCAAAGAAATAGAGAAGCTCCAGCTCGAGAAGCTGCAAGCCCAGTTCCCTGTCGAGGATTTGATTTGCCCTATTACCCGTGAGATGCCGTGGGACCCTGTCACGGCTGAGGATGGCCGCGTCTACGAGCGTTCGGGTAAGCATGGTAACGGTCGAGTTGAGTCTCAATGAGTTGCTTCGTGCTCAACCATCTATTTTTCCATTCCCTTCTTAGCAATTGAACAACACCTCACGACTAAGAGAACATCACCAATGACGAATCAACCGATGGGCGACCGTCTGTTCCCGGCTCCCCAGCACAAGAATTTGATTGAAGGACTGATCAAGACGGGTGTCATTGGTGATTCATTGCTCTCCAGTTGGAATGAAAAAGTGAAGGAGAAGAAGGAAATGGAAGACCTGTTGAAGAAGGCCAATGCGGGCGACAAAAATGTCATGCTGACTGTCGGACTGAATTATCGATACGGCGAAAAGGGTTTTGCGAAAGACCTAGCCAAGAGCCACATCTTGATGAAGAAAGGACACGACTATGGAAACTTGGAGTGCACGGTATTCCTAGGGGTGGACCTTTTGACTGGAACGGGTGTCGCCCAGGACTTAATGAAAGGAATGATGTATACTGCTATGGCTGCGGGGAACGGGTCGGATTTGGCGGCCTACGTGTTAGGGTCAGCATTGGCAACTGGTCTTGGTGGTGTGCTGACGGTGGATAAGGACGAGGCAATTCGTTGGCTCTGGAAGGCTTCGAGTGGAACCTGTCCTGTCAAACACTTGAACGAAATGGAAAAATACAGAGCGAAGAAACTGCTGAAAAGCCTTACCAACAAAGCCCCCGCAACCGATCCTTCCGCTTGATTGTTTTGGTAAAGCAAAAAGAACTCGAACTCACTGTCAGTGCCTACCGGCGCAACGCAATCAAAAGAAACTGTTTTGGCAGCCTAAACAGAGTGACGAGTCTCAGTCGACAAGTACACACGAAGGATGGAAAAGCTAACAAACTAGGAATGGTTCTATTGCAAATAAATTGAAAACTGAACAGAAGAACATCGAATGTCCCAGCTCAATTTTTCTACACGTTGTTTGCTTAGGAAGTGTTCTATAGCCTTGGGTTGGACTATTCTTTCACGTCTGTGTGGTCGTCTTTTGTCCGCCTGGTTCCTCAAAATCCAACAGTGCATTCCTCATGAATTTGTGCATGCTTCTGCATCCATCTCTACACAGACTGATGGCTTCATTGGCCAAAGTCGATGACAGTCGTCCAGATTGATTCCATAATGTGACTTCTTTCCAATTGGCTAGCAGCGAGAGTGTGACAACGGCGTCGGCTTGCTCCAGTTCGCTGTAGGTTGGGTCTGCCAAGAGTTTGGGTTGCGTAGTGTCCTCGTCGTTCATGACAGCCACAGTGGCGCTGGTGACCATATCATACACTTCAATACTGGCATTGACGAGTGCCAATGAAGCTGCAATGGTGCACGCTGACATGACACTGCCATCGTCTTGTAGAATTGTCAATTGCAACTGAATCACATTTTTGGGATAGGCTTTGAGTGGCACTGCCGCCGCAAGAGAGGACAATACCTGATTGGCCAATTCCTTTTCGACGCCCCCAATTTGTGTATTGATTCGTCCCGATGTCGGTTGTTGTGCATGTTGCTGCGTTTCCGACGACAATGCCAATCCACTGGCGGCAGCACCTACCAGCGAGGTAATGGGATAGCCGACATTGGGGACATATTGGACTTGGCATTCCAGGGTTCCCTCTTCCATATTGACTGTCGTCGTACTGGTTGTTGTTGGCCCAATGACTTGACAGAGAACCTTGGTGTGTCCCAATTCTACCAAGGCCGATCCCGTGGCCGACGTAATGCCCAGCTCCAGGCGGAGTACCCTCAGTTCATGGGAAGCTCTATCTCTTTTGGATTTTTTACTAACGGTGGTGGTGGTGGAAGCCTGCTGGGATTGCGCCAAGTTAAAAGGAAGAGGCTTGTAGCAGTTGGAGAGACTTGCGTAGTTTCGTGGCATGGTGATGATGATTGTGATTGTCAGAAATGAAGAAATGAAGAAACAATAAATAACAGATTGATCATGGTCGAACGGAGTGAATGGCTGTTGGTAGGTTGGCTTCAAGCAATAAGCCGTCTGAGTTGATCAGTTTGGATCCAAGACGAAGACACAAAACAGGAAACAGCTCAAAAAACTGACGATGAACAGTCCAATGGAAGAGGAGTCCGATGGCTCTTCTCCGTCTTCCAATACTAATAACAACGTTGCTAGCGGAACTACTTCTAATAAGCATAGAGGCACCAGCAACCAACACCATAACGACAGAAATGGTAGCATTGCCATGGGTACTCGAGCGAGAGGTTCCAACGCCCAGAGACGCAGCACAGCACTCGAGCTGCAGGACTGTGAAGACGCACTGGAGCATATCGTCATGACGGGAAATCACTTTCGTCATCGGGCATGGAGAATTGACACTTGGAAGAAACGCAATAAATCACAGTCAGAAAACAAAGACAGAAATTCTGCTACTGTTGATGATGCTGATGGCAGTGGAGGACAACAACGTACTAATCTCCAAGATGGTTCGGAAGAATCAGATCGGAGAAAGAGCAGACCCACCAAAAAGAGAAAACGGAACCATGATGAAGACGAAGCTTCTATTTCTCACTCGGACCAAGAAGGTCAAGACAGCAGTGATGATGGGAGCAGTACGGAGAAGGCCAAAGACACAAAAGGCAATGCACTGCATCTGTTGCATGGAGATGATATTCGCCTTTATGGACACGCTAGTGGGTGTGCGGCCGATCCATGGCCCCGTGATTTGCGCGGTGGTCGACGAAATCGGTACAAAGACAGGGCTGGCAACGAGGGTGGTATCGATGCACCTTGGAATGAGCAATTTGGGGATTCCATTCCCTTGTTCGAGTTTACCAGAGATCGCTTATCTACAGTGGTGCCCAGCAACACAACAACAACAACAACAACAATAGATGATTCCACAACGCCCTTTTCAGGCTGCAAAGAGACCGAGGCATTGCTAGTTCCAGAGAGAATGAGACAGTTGGATCCAGACACGGTCCGGTGTACCGTTGATCGAAACCACGTCCCACGAGCATTGCTCCTGCGCTGTTGGCAGAGAGCGGTCGATATTGCTTCTCAATCCACGCTAGTACAACCTACTGGGTCCTCTACTAATAACCATGATGTACAGTTCCATACCACGGATACTACTACCGATGCCACGCGTCGGATGCAACTACAGAAATCGGCGCAACAACGATGCATAGAGTTGACCATTGAAAAGTATCCCTGGGGGGCACCCAGGGAACCGCCCTACCAATGCCGTCTCTGCACCGCCGAATTTGAGTCTATGGATGCTCTCAAGAAGCACTTTTATGGATCGGATCACGTCCGCGGCTGCTCCTGGTCGGAAATCCATGCCAAACAACGACAAATGATCTCGGATGTATTGGTCCAGGAAATTGATGGGCAAGCACAAGCGTTGGTGCAGTTGGTCATGAACAAGGCTCTAGAGAGGAAACTCACGATGATTGATGACAAGGCAGGGAACGAAGCACCAAAACGTCAAAAGAAAGGGGACCAGCAACCACAACCAAAACAGCCAGAGTTATTCAACTGGAAAGATGTCTTGGGCTTTTTGAATGAAGTCATGGCCACCTCACAAGAGAGTCAACAAGTGGTAGACGACGACGACAATGACAACAATACTGAGCAGAGCGACGACGGTAGCGCCAATACTACGGTACCAGAAATACAAAAGACTCTCAAGTACCAGAATGGATTGGCACCGTTGGTCCTGAACCAACAAGTTCTAAATGCATCATCCTCGTGGTTGATAGAACGATATGCGGATGTTCCCAAATAAAAATGCAATTCTGGTCAAGCTCACTCACTTCAACTCTTACTACATGTAGTATGGTCATTGATCCATTTAGCTAGCTAGTACAGCTAACTAACTAGCTAGCTAGCTAGCTAGTTGTAGCAGATGCCGCGCGTTTAGGATATCCAGCATCAGCTGGGCTGGGCTGGGCTCGACACAAGAAGGCCAACCTCCGTGGATACTCGAAAGGAGGCGAGTTGGTCCAGGAGATGGACTAACGGTAGGGATAGGTCCCAGGCGGAAATGGGGCTCGGCGTAGTCTAGGTTCTGTAGTGGGTCCGACAGCCAGCGGGGCCTGAAAATGGACCAGGAGTGGGGTTTGTAGATGGACCAGGGGTGGGCACAGTTCGTTTGGTAACATACTAAAGGTTCCTTTCAGGTACCGGTACGATGGACCAGTGCACACAGGTAACATTCGTCAACAACATTAGAAGCTACTTACCTGGGAAAGCCAACTCAGTATCTTGGGGCTTCAGTCAAGGAGTACAATCTCCCTGGCGTTGACAAACCATGTTGGTCAATGGGATCTGAACAGTATGTCAAGGAAGCTGTCAGAAATGTGGAGACATGGCTCGAGCGACGTGGGAAGACGCTCAAGTCGAAAGCAACTTCAGTGTTACCGAGCAATTACACCCCGGAGTTGGATGTTTCAAACCTTTGTGATGACGAGTGGACAAATTACTTTCAACAGCAGATTGGAGTGCTACGATGGGCCGTGGAACTCGGGAGAATTGACATCTGCACCGAGGTTTCAATCATGGCTTCGTACTGTGCAGCCCCACGAGTTGGGCACCTGGACGCTGTGTTTCATATCTTGGCATATCTCAAGCAGCACAGTCGTTCTCACCTTGTTTTTGATCCTTCCTATGTGAATCATGTGGAACCAGAGCGACCTGACTGGAGTGATTTCTATGCCGATGCGAAAGAGCTTTTGCCTCCAGACATGCCGAAGCCTCTCGGCAAACCAATCCAAATCACCATGTTTGTGGATTCTGACCATGCTGGGGACAAGGTGACACGTCGTTCGCGTACTGGTGTACTCGTCTTTGCTAACATGTCTCCAATTATTTGGTATAGCAAGAAGCAGGGCTCCATTGAAACTTCCTCCTTTGGATCTGAGTTCGCGGCGATGAAGGTTGGAATCGAGATCGTGGAGGGCTTGCGGTACAAGCTCAGGATGATGGGAGTTCCCCTTGATGGCCCGGCTCACGTCAAGGCGGACAACATGTCCGTGATCAAGAACTCGAGCATCCCGGAGTCTACTTTGAAGAAAAAGAGCAACTCGGTCGCATACCATTATGTCCGTGAAAGAGTCGCTGCAGGCATGGCAAACATCACATATGAGAGTACTGAGAGCAATTTGGCGGATATGTTGACGAAGATCCAGAACGGGCCTGTGAGACAGCGACTGGTTTCGAAAGTCCTCTACTAACAATCTGCAAAAGGCAACATGACCATAGGGTGGGCCGTTTGGTGAACGGCAGGTCTGAGCCTCCAAGGGGCCATGCCCCAAGGGTACATCCTGTTTCAGACTTCCGAAGTCTGTTTTCCCATTTCAAGTGCAATCTAGCGTGAGATAGATCCCCCTCTAGCTTGAGGGGACCGAAAATGACCTGTGGTAGCGATTTATGACTATCCAGTTACCAGATTACCAGATTACTAAAATCAACCACACAACAACTACCAAGTAGTAACACAACACTATAGCAACCTCTTTATCAACACCTCCTTCCTCTATCATCAGCCTTTTTCGCTTTCGGAGGGTCAAGCTTCATCCCAAAATATATTATCACCCCAACCCATCAAAGCTCATGAGGAGGTTGGGTAACTATTCGGGTGACCTTCGAAGAATGTCTCGTGATAACCAGACAAGACTTACACCGGAAGGAAGAGATCCACGGAACCGGCAGCAGATGTCACACACCACTCAAGCTCACGTAATGGCAGCGCGCACCACCGAGATCCTTCACAGACACGGAATCACAATAAAAAGACAAAGGCAAAGACAGATAGAAACATTGGACGGCAACTAACTAGACGACTACGGATACTTTGGTGTTAGTCCACCGGCTATCCATCCGTGGGTCATTGGAGTAGGTAGGCTTGAAGAGGGCAGGGGTAACAGCACCTCATTTATTTGTGGGGACAAGTATTGTGCTACCGGTAGTCTAGTACAGTAGTTGAGGAGAGCAGGTTCACCAGGTAGACAGACCATGGCAAGCAGCACCGCCATGGACGCTTCTCCTCCTTCTTCCAATCGAGGGGATCGTTCGTCGACAGCGAGATTGGATGCCGCTACACAAGATCAGCATAATCGACGAAGGACTCTGAAATCCTCTGGAAGCGGTCGAAGACGACGTCGACCGTCTGTGGACAAAGAACGACTTCCCGAGTCCTCTTTACAAGAAGCCTTGTTGGCCACCAAGGGAAGCTTGGATTCTTCGGCATATTCCAATGCTTCCAAGGCCACCACCGGTTCGTCTACCAGCAAGTTTCGCATGGACAATAGTTCTGCTTATTCTTCTTCCACCAGTGGTTCCTTTCGTCGACAACATCAGCAATCGTTACTCAATTCTAGCAAGGGATCTCTGGGAGCTGCCATGGCAGCCAACAACAACAGCATCAACAACAATAATAGCAGTACTCTGTTGGATGTTTCGGGACAAAGTCACTTGAATTATGCCCAAAAATACAAGGTCGCACATGAACTCATGGAACACCATCATCGACGACGAAAACAAGTCTCCCCCAATCAATCACGGTCCACACGTCGACGCGGCAGTAACGATGGTGCCATTCCCATTGTACCAGATTCGTTGGAACCCCTCCGGCGCTCACGACGACGAGGCAGTAATGATGGATCCAGTATTGCAGAGGAAGGAGGCCATGAGCGTTCCAAACAACAGCAACAACAACGAAGCATGACGGACAAGTACAAATCGATTAGTCGTGTCGGCGGAAATAGTCACTCCAGTCGACGACATTCCATGGATTCGTCCGCGACGGGGGAGTCGACTCGTACAGGTGGTGATAACAGCAGCAGTCGCAATAATCACAAACGGGGAGTCTCACGGACCAGTTCGGCACGAGCAACGGAAAAATCATTGACGGCTACGAGGCTCAAGAAAGCATTTGGGGGGAACACTAATACTAGTACTAGTACAGAGACCAAAGGATCCGCCAGAACCAGCAGTAAGAGTCCGAATCGAGGGGTCAGTCGACAGGCGTCCTTGCCAACCAACAAAAAGGGAGCACCACGAACCCGACATGTCGAACGACAAAAGTCGGGGTCCGCCAACAACAACAATGAGCGAGGACGCGGTGGCAAAGCGTCCAGGCGTTCCTCGATGCCCAGCGACAGTGTGGGAAGCAGCGACGACGGTTCTACTACAAGGGCCAAACCAAGAAGATATTCGCACGCACTCAAAGACGTCACAGCGTCCAACAAAAAGGCTGATTTGGCAACATCATTGGATTCATCCATGCCGTCCTTGGCAGCCCTGGACCTTACTGGACACAGCAATTTGACCTATGGAACCAACAAGCGAATTTCAGACTCGTCCTTCTTGACCATGACCACCACAGATGATGATATCACTCTATCGACGACAACCGCCAAAGTACCTCCCCAACAACCACCGCCAAGACCAGCTCCCCCCGTCGGGTTAAAACACGCCGGGTCGATTAGTCTCCTCGTGGACAATGCTCCATCCCATGCCGCCAATCGAAGCAACAACAACCTCCTCAACAGCGAAAATAATTATGCCAGTCATGACGATGCTGCCTCCGACGATGAAGCGTCTACAATTTGCAACAGCGTGGGAGATGTTTATAATTCGGCGGCCAGCGTCGATACGTCGGATCCGACCGAACCAAACAAGGGGATGAATGATATGAGCCGTTCCGATAATAGTCACAGCAATAGTCGACGCAGGGGGACAGACGAGGATGCCACGCGGCGAAAGAAGAGCCCCAAGGCGCCACGAAGAAGGAGTCGTTCGAAACAAGAATCGCGACGCGCCAACAGCCGACATCAAAGCACCAGTAGCGAACGACGTCCCTCAAGGAGGGCATCCGTGGCGACTAATCGGATGTCCAGGGGCGGTTCATCTTCGTCATTGCACAAGGAGGGCGACGACTACGAAAAACCAAAGTTGAAACGTGTGCAATCAGCGTCGTCGGTGGGAAAGCGCTCCAAAGACAGCAGGGAAGATGCTCCTCCGTTGAAACGCGTTCAATCGACATCGACCGTGGGGAAACGGGCCAAAGATAACAACAGCAGTAAGGAAGATGGCGCACAAGCACCCTCTCTAAAGCGTGCTCAGTCGGCGTCGTCGGTGGGGAAACGCTCCAAGGGCCAGCCACCCGCTGTCCAGCGCGGCACATCCGAAGCCACCGGACCACGGCGCCAAAAATCTGCTTCATCGTTCAAAAGTGGTGGTTCCATGAAAGACGCCTCTTCCAAATCAGCTTCTGTTTCTGCCAGGCGCAAAGCAAAGAGAGCCCGCGAAAAGTCCATCTTGTCCGAAAGCTTGTCAGCGCTCGATGCCACATGGGTTCGCGGGGGCAGTGCTTCCGGGGAGAAACATGCGGAAGATCAAGAAAAGCCACACAACAAGACACCGATGGATTCCAACAATTCCAGCTCGCAAGGGAGCCAGAGTCGTCGCAGCAGCCAAAAGCCCCCACGACGTGCCATGTCGAGTGGATCCGTGTCTGTGGCATCGTCGCAGGGAAGCGGACCCGATCGAAGGCGGCGGTCCTCGACTAACAGACAAAGCATGCCTGAACAACGAAGTTCGGATGCCACTGCAACGTGGTCGTTAGCGGACATTGATGTGGTCGGAGACGGCGATTGCAAGGATGAGTCGGTGGTGACACCGGCGACCGTTTCGTCGTCGTCCGCCGAAGAAAAGTTGGAACTGGAAGTCTCTAGTAGGACGGCAAAGACAGGAGAGACGTTGCGTCGAACCAAGAGCACGGGGTCTCATTTCGGGGGAAACAACAAATCAGACGGAAAGAGCCACCGTCAAGCATCACAAAAGAGTCTATCGTCGGCAGCACGAAAGGAACAAAAGCGACAAGAGTCACAGAAAAGCACTGCCAAAAATCCTTTTTCTGAGCCGTCTAATAAAAGCGCCTTTCTGGTGAAGGCCGATCAGCTGGACCCGTTTGGTTCTCAGCATAACGAGCGCAGCGGAGGAACAGACCCTTTCGATCCTTTCGCACCCAGTGTCGCGAATGATCCGTTTGGGCTCTCCAAGAAAGAGAAGCCAAAGACAAAGGTTGACGATCTTGGGCCGTCCTTCCACTTGACCAATGACTTTGGTGACTTTGGCAACGAGTCGTTTGGTTCTGTCAACTTCGACGGCCAGGATGGTTTCGACGTTGTTCGCGGGGAAAAATCGACAAGGTCGCTTCTTGGATGAAGGAAGCTCGCTTTCGCCGAGGGGTGCAATTGTTCGAGGGGCAAGCTACGTGAACTAGTGGTTACGCAAGGTCTATGTTACCAGTTCATCGAGGTGGCAGATAATCTAAGCTTTGCAACTTTCGGCAACCATTCGGCGGGGCTGTCCAATGCGGTTTCGAACGCCGAGGGTTCGGGGCGGGGTTAGAACAACGCCGTTGCCCATGGTCAGGCTGATTGAAAGCAGCACGCAACGAAGCACACCAGACAAGTTGCCTGTGCGGCCACACTTCCGGTGGTGGTTACTGGACAGTCGTGAGCACACAAACACAGAAAGCGCGAAAGGGCCCTACCAGGGCGGTGTCAGGCGGCTCAGAATGCATGCAACTGTTTCAACAGTGGTCAGGGAGAACCGAGGGGAAGAAGGAAGTTTTCGGAAGCCTATTGCTGCTCTGGGCAGGGTACTGGCGGCTTCGTACTGGAATTGAAATCCCGTGTTGCCTTGGGAACAACGATCTTCAGCATTGCTGGAAGTAGCCCGATCTACGTTGTAGCCGAGGGCCGCTGGGCAGCCTCCAAGTCACACACTGCACGCATACGGTTTTACTCACTGGTGTTTGTGATCTCAATGTGAACTCTACACAAGTGGCCGTGCCCTCTTCAACGTTGAAGGCTGCCGTAGAATTCTGTTTTGCGGCAATGATAGGTATAGAATCGTAGTCCAGCTAGCTAGAAGCACGACACGCCAGCTCCTGTAGATTGTATCAGCTACAACTCGCTCTTAGGACTCGACTCGACGTGGAGTCTGGCAACTCAGTGCCTAGATAGAAAACAACCCGCAAACCGGTGGCAACATAAGCTTAGCCTCAACCGGCAGCCACGGCTGTACCGGTAGACTCATCCAGCCAAATCTTACCACATTGGGCTGGCATGTTGGCATGGCATACTAGCTGGAAACCGGTGACTAACTAGATAACATGGCAGCTTCAATGCCCCTTTCTGCGGAGCCAACGGGGCGGTACATGTAGGTCCTGTGGATGCTCTTCCTTGGCCTCGTTCTTGTGCGCAAAAGGACGGCGCCCAGCTTGTCGGCAGTCTTGTCCAAAGTCCATGAATAATGTATGGACTTCAGCCAGCAACCAGCCTTCGAGCCAGCTCCCATCTCCCATCTCGCTTTCAGCCATGACTTGAGACTACCCCACTACTCGGATTTATTCCCGCCTTGATTGGCATTCGGTATGAGGGTTATCACCCTTCGGTTCGTTTAAATCTACATGTCACAGCGAAAGCACATCAGGGTGAAGAAGCCTCAAGATCCGCGTCGCTTCGAAAAGTGCAATAATTGGCTTTGACCCCAGATTCAAACTCCGACATCAGTGGTTTTCATGTGGAAATGAAACGGTCACCTTCAGTACATAATTCAGTACATGTACTGGAGAGGGCAACATCAGGCTTAAGACCGTTGGTAGAAGTGATGCTTTTTGTGCTAAACCTGTAAATGCTTCTTTTAAGATTTGCCCTGGTCGCAAGATTATTTTAAAATCAGTATTGCAATACTGCTGTTCATAAAATCATATCAACTAATTGCTTGATATTAAGGTTGGAGAGAACAGTATACCAAAATGCCTCTTCAAAAAGAGCTCCAACCAATCTTGGAACTCCCAAAAATCAACCAGTCTCGCTCTCACTCCTTCTTTTTCCGGTTGCATTGCCCGCTTTCCAGTAGAATTTGAACGAACTGAGCATACTGTAAGCAGCTTAACCACTTGGCAACAGACGCAAAAAGAGCCTCGAAAAACGGCAAGAGCACGAAAAAAGACAAGCAGCCAATCATCTCACAATTTTTTGCCTCCAGTTTTGTTCTTCCACTTCTTCCAACCTGCCACCGACCGCAGCATGATGCTTGCTGATTTCCAACCCGTCTTCCTCACACCCCTGTCTCAAACCGAGCCGATGGAACGCCTGGTACCTCGCGCACCAAGACCTGGAAAGAGGCGCTCAGACCGGGTGACTTCTTTGTTGATGAACAACCTGGAATTGTTTCAATCACCGATGCTCTCGGGTGATGCTTCTTCTTCTTCTCCCAACAAGAGGCCGTGTCTCAAACTGCAACCATCCTCATCATCAGTGAGTTCATCTCCTTTGTTCAACGATGCTCTGGAGCGCATGCGCCAAAAGGGAATGCCACCACGCAGCGTGATTGCACCGGCCAAGAAGCGTCGCAGTGCTCCCACACTACCAGAAGCATCTGCCAGGAGGGGTAGCAATGGCTCTGCCGAGGGTCCTGTAGTCAAGCACGAAATGGACAGAACACCCATCCGCTCACCTCCCGTGCGCTCCAACAGTGGACTTGCCCGCTGTGCTTAATTTGCCTGCCCAGGCAATCATTACCATTAGCGCTAAATGTACCATTAGAAAAAAGCAAAACTATCATACGAAATCAAATCACTAGCTAGCTAGTATAACATTGCAACACATGAGCTGTATGTCGCTAGCTAGAAATGACGGGAGTTTTGGTGGCTCGGTGGTGCCGGTGGAAACAAAGTCCCCTGCCTGCGATTTGAAGGAACCCAGCTAGCGTTTACTGTTCCTTCGCAGTAGAAAGCTCGAATGGCTTCAAGACGCAGCACAGCCCCTTATTACGCAGCAGTTCACATTGAGTTGATTCGTTCCCAATGGTGAAATAGCACAACCACCAAAACCTGTCATGGTAGGCATGCTACGGTAGCTACTCCGTACCGTACATCAAAAAGCTACACTAATTGTTGAGAGCGATACTACAGTGTAGCTAATGTAGGGTCCAAGCCAGTAGCCATCTGTAGCATCAACACAGCTCCATCTTTGAGTGGGAATGGACCTGTTGCTTGGTTGGCCAGGTCACCTGACCTGAAACACCCCGGATTGTTTACACGACAAAGTGGAAGGTACCGGGCTGTATACCTAGTAGTCGAACGAAAACCTGATGGCCGACTGATAGTGCCAGTGGGAAACAAAAACTACCACGAAACGAACAGGCATGGCATATGACCGTCTAGTGCTTGGTATCCTTGTCTACTAGTAGCTAGCTAGTGTCAAGGTGATTGTCAGAAATCACCAAAGTGTTTCAGGGTGACACCAGGGCACCCGGTCCTCTACCCGAATGTCCCAGCCACCACATCCCACGCACCATGGCAAACCAAACAAATACCGCGAATTGTTTTGTTAGGAAAATAATAAATTGTATATTGTTGCAATATATATGAACCTGACTAGCACATGTACCACCATTTTTTCTTCTCTTCCCACCGTCTCTTTCGTTGTCGCTTTTCTTTCGTTTTGATGCAGGCCAAGTACAGGAGCAACTGCTATCATCTCTTCTTGAATCCATACTTCTTTCGTTCGTAAAAGAGATCCGTTTTGGTACTTCCTAAATTGACAATTTTGGGACACCCATCTCGATCCTTTTCCATCTGTACGCATTCTCGACAAAAGTAGGCATCGGTCACCCCAGGATTACCACAAATGACACACCGTCCTTCGAAACTGCCATAGTTGCATTCATCGCAAATGTGGACCAGTGTTTGTGGATTGACAAAGGAATCGCAAATGACGCATTTGCCGTCGCCTGTAATACAACATAACAACAAAATAAGAGGATGGAATGATGAGATTCGATTCGATTCGATTCAAACGTACACAACATGTAATGTAGACAAAAAGAAAAAAGTCGTCGACAACCCACTTACATTTTTCGCAGAGACGCCCAATGGCCACCCCAGGCTGCTTGCGGCACATGACGAGATCTGGATGATGCTTGGCCATTCTGAATTAAGAACTACAGTAGATAGAACCCACAACAACTTGTCTTCTGCTCTTCCCTACTAGAGCTAGCTAGCTACCGGTAGGCTGTGTTGTGACTGGTTTTGGCAACAATGTATGTCGTCTTCTTGCGTCTGTTTCATTCAAAGCGTCGCATGGATCCCGGTGGGAATGTCGCGCAGAGTGCGCGGTGGTACCGGTAGTGCTCTGTATTTTTCAGTTTCTGGAGCTCTCACTCTCAAACAGAAAGTCTGTAACAATGACGAGCTTCTGGAAACACAACCGTTTTACAGCTTTGGCAGCTACATGTATTTGCCCACCTCATTCCGAAGCAGAGAGATGCCATTTACAATCTATCTTTTGGCTTCGATCCTGTTCAGATCACCACCACTGTAGCTAGTAGCTAGCTAGTAGAGAGTAGCTAGCGGGTGAATACAATAATAGACAGCGTTTGCATGATTGCTACTAGTAGCTAGTAGAAGAGTATTGCCCGCAATATGGCGGATGCCGAAGCAGCAGAGCTGGAAGAAGAGGTGGAAGATTTTGACGAAGAGGACTATGATGACGATGATGACGATGATGATGAAGACGACTATTCCGACGAGGACGAAGAAGAATCGACCGATGACGACGACGACGACGATGCGGAACCGTTGCATCCTCTGAGTGCCAGTGCTCACAAGATGGGCAAGGATTTGCCCAAATTGGTCAAGGAGGAATTGGATCGTCGAAAACGAGGCGACGCCAAAGGTCCTCCCAATCCGTTGGTGGTTCATGCCTTGCGACAATACTTTGAATCCGGCAAGGGCGATCCCATGATTTGTGGTGGTTTCATGACGCTCATGAGAGAGATTGGCGCTGTGGCGCAGTCCAAGGATCATTTGGTCAAACACAGTGAACACAACATTTGGTATCTAGGAGCCAAAGGAGAAGAAGATACCAATGAATGGTGGCAAGATCAGCTAGAACGACATGAAGCCGAAGTCAGGTTACTCAGGTACGGAGAATTCATGGAAATGCAAGAAATTAAAGGACTTTCCTTTGATGACACAAAATGGAGATTCAATCCACTGGATGACAAGGAAGATCTTGTGGGAGAAGATACACTCAAGGATCCTCAAGACCCACACACACCACCACCAATCAACGAAAATATGGATGATACACAACAACAACAACAAACACAAAATAAAACGGAAGAAGTAGACAAGAAACCTGCGGCGAAATCATCAAATCCAACGTCACCAAACCAAGTAGATGACACTGCCATTGGAAAGAAACAGCAAGAAGGACTCTCCAAGAATTTTATTGCTGCCTTTGTACGATATGTCGACCTGGTGGAAGAGGCACAACAGCAAAAGACGGCCAAAGTGGCGTCGGCACCTGCTGGAATCGCCAGTGTCAATGGAAGGCAACAGGAACAGCACGCTAGTCTCAAACAGCCTCCAGAAGAACTACAACATCATCATCATCATCATCATAATCAAGCCAACAATAGCAACAACAACCATAATAATCGAATACCAATCACTGAAGACTTTATTCGAACCAAATGCCAACAACTGCAGCAACAATACAAGGAACTCAACCGACCCCTGGGAAACAACTATGTACTGGATCAAGAACCACAGTCGGCGAAAAAACTTTCCGGAAAAAAGAACCGAAGACGACAACGACAAAACAAGGCCAAAATCGGAGGAGGCGCCGGGACGATTCCAGCTGGAAAACGCAAAGATCATGGTGATTGCATCAAGGAACACATTCATACCCTCGTGTCGCTCTGGGATCAACAATTACTGGTGCGGCGTCCTGGAACGGCTCCCTCCTCGGCGACTTGTGCGCGCATTGTATCGGCCATGGTTGAAATGCTCACGACGGCGGCAAAGGTTGATCCGGATGTTTGTCGGGGATTGGCCACGGCATCGATTGCGGCAAGCAACAACAACAACAAAAGCAGCAGCAACAACAATAAACACGACACTGTAGCCTTGGTGGAATTACGAGAACGAACACTGACGTTTGCTTTGGAAGTCGATGCCGACGTGCGTCCGTTGTGGGCGGCCAATGCGTGGTGGAGACTCTATTCCGATTTGACCATGTTTCTGGCCGATATCATTGTCACGCTGACGGGTGATAAGGAAAATCGAAATGAATACCGAACCACGGCCGCAACGCCTCTCACTCCGGATGAAAAACTAGCGTCCAAGTTGTTTGAAACATCCGTGTCACCGTCGCTGTTGAAATCCATTGAATCGCCACATGCGGCAGAACGATGCGCTGCATTGAAAGCCATGGGACGTATTGTCTGTGGAATATCGGTCGAGTTGGCCATGGGTCTCGTCAAACCCAAGAAAACGTGGGATATGTTGGAACAAGCGTGTAAAGGTAGTGCTTCCTTGAATATCATCGAAGCCAATACGACCAAGAATGATCCGGACAAGGAAGGCAGCCCCGACAATGGCTCAACAATGACTACAGTGGCCAAGTATGATACTACTACTGCGACAACCTGCAATCGAGTCACACAACGTGAAGCAATCATGGCACCGCGTTCGTCTGCACAGGGCACGGCTCTCATGATTCGTTTATGCGGCACTGGAATGATCAAGGAAGATTCGGATGGTCCTCCTGGAATGACCATCATCCCTGGCCCTCTGGCTCGCAAAATGATCCAACGTGGGATTGTCCCCTTCTTGATGGAGTTGTCGCGGTCGGACAATGCATTGATTTCGGTCGAAGCCGTAGGAGGGCTGGCACAGGTATCCTGTGTCAAGGATTGTCGAACTAGTTTGATACAACAGCCCGATGTGGTCGCTTGGCTGGAATCGATATTCGTGTCTCCGGAGGGAAATAAAGTGTCACAAGGAATCCTCCTAGCGAGACATTTGCTCTGGGACGATGAGTGGTTCCAGCCGATTTTATCTATCCAACCACCCATCGAACAGACTATTGTCAAGTGGGCAGCATACTGCATGAAATGCATTCAAGAGCGAGCGGATGAAGTGCGAGAAGTTAGCAAGAAACTCGCTGATGAATTCATGGCTCGCAGTCTCTCCAAAATCAAGCTATCAGAGAACGACGACCAATCTGTCAATGACGACCCTACGTTTGAATCAGATATCCAAGAAATGGAGGCTCGAATGAAATCCCAGCTCCCTTGGAATAAATTGGAGACAGACGAAGGCCGCACTCATGTGACCAATCTGGCGCTCAGTCGAAGTGTCATCTTCCTTTCTACCTTGATTCGAGACAAGGTTACCTCAGAACGTGTATTGAAAGCGAACTGCCTGGCGTTGGGAGCTGCTTGTTTGGACGTTCCCGTGGACGACACCAATTCTGCGGCTGCCAATATCGTGGGCAACTACCTGGCTACAGCTGGGTCTGTTTCTCCCAATGTTTTCCCTGATCCAGACCATGTGGTTCGTGCCGCGATCTCCCGTTTGAGTCGACTGGTAAACCGACAGGACATTACGCCCCGATCGTTTATTTTTGTACGCTTGTTGAACGGGCTACGCAAGAATACCGATTGGGCACCATTCTTCCAGTCTTGCGCTGATCAGGACATGGAACACAAGTATGTGATTGAAGTGTTCCTACCCAAAATTGGCGACAATATCCCATCTTCGACCCCACCACCAAAGACACCCCGCCGTGGTTCTGACGGTGACAACAACCACAAAGGAGGAGCAGGAGGAGGAGGCAGCGGCAACAAAAGCAATGGTCGCGCCCCCAACTCGCGTGCCCGGGCTAGAGTGAATCGACCCACCAAATTAAACAAATGTAGCGCTTGTGGAAAGATCGAGTCTCAGCCCGGTGAGTTCAAGAAATGCAGTCAATGCAACGTTACCTACTACTGTGGACGCACTTGCCAGACCAATGATTGGAAGAAACACAAGAAGGAATGCCCCACCCTTGGTGCTCCCAAAAAGATTGGCAAACGAGCCTTGAAAAAGAGTTAGCACTCTTTGCATGACCTGAACGGAACTGAGCCCTGCGAAGTGGATTCTAAAGGTGTCATCGTTCCAGAGTTGTCTTGTAGCTAGAGCTAGCAACTACGTAGTCGAGTGTCAACCTAGATATTTGCCAGATCCGTCTGATGGCATTTTCTCTGTCCAAGAAAGGACTGAGTGAGGTCTGGCTTAGTACTGGCGCTCCCGTTTCGAGCTACCCGCACTACCGTATGAGAAGTCCACCTACCTTCAGCATGATAGAGGTCTGACACAGACAAATTTAGCTATTCCGCCGGCAAACAAACAAACAATGCAATCAATCTAGAATGATTCGATTCGGTCATCACAGAGGAATAAGACGCTTTCTCTTTCATGGAATTGAATGATTCAATCGAATCATTCGCCAATGATGAGAACGGCTCTGAGAGTTGACCATCCCTCATTTTTGTTTGACTTTGGGCTCTTGACTTGGTTGTCACAGGCCTGGTTGGTTGCTGGGTACGTCATTCAATATCCACACTCTGAGTAGTCTAGGTATTATTGGTTTGAGTTAAATAGCAGCTGGTAGTTTGTCTTTGCAGTTGATTCTTGCCTTACATTACCTCACCTACCTTTTAATTTCTGACCGTTACATTTACACGGAATCTACGCTCATTATCGCGAAGAATTCCTGTTTGCATTATTTGTTCTTTCTTGGCATGGACATCAGTTCGACCTTTATAAATTGAGCGTCCATCATTATTTTGACATCCTTCTTCCTGTCATCACAAAGAGAGTTGATGGGAGAAGAAAGTTGAGGTGTTTGCTTGGTTGCTTTGTTCCATTTTTTCCTTGCCTCTCGCCCAAGGTGACCCAAGTTTTTGAGAAGGCATTTCTACGAATCGTGCTTCTTCAGACTGCGACAGAGGACTTGAAGACCTCATTTTGGGGTGATCATCAAGTCATTTATCAGTCCTCTACCGAAAAAGAGGGTTGACCATGAGGCACCTTTTGACGGACTTGAGGGGCAACCCGATCTATGTCATGTCCCGTGCGGCCCGCCTTCGTACTCGCTTTCGCCATCCCCATCTCCCTACGTTGTTCTATCATGTCCAGAATCGAGCGTGGAATGACGTTTTGCTTCGAGCCAAATCTCATCCGCAGGAAGTGACGGTTCAAGAAGATGTCAGCAAGAATAGTCCGTTGCACTGGGCTTGCCGCCTTGATCCTCCTGTGGAGGTCATCCTTGCATTGAAGAAGGCAGCACGTATGGTGAATGCAGAAGGATGCACTCCTCTTCACATTGCTTCCAGTCATCTCATTTCGGAACCGGCATTGGAGGCTCTATTGGAGTGTGCGGCGGCTCAGCCAGCTCCTACGTTGCATTTTGATTCCTACAAATCACAACATCCAACTGCAGACTTGTCTCGCTGTGGTAGAGCTCCCATTCACTATGCATGTTTGTCATTCCGTGGACTGGCATTAAACGCCTTTCAGAAGCTTCTTGAAGCCACTTTGGCCGATGGCAACGTCATTGTCGACGATGAATACTATTCCAAGCGTCTCTTGGGATTGGATGATTTCTTCAACGAAGATGAAGAGGCAGCCGTATCGCCTCAGCAGAGTTTCTCTTCTTTGGAGCAGCCACCTGGCGGCAGAAAAAAAATCAATGCCATGACGATTCGTGATGCCAGCGGCCAGACTCCTCTTGGTTGCCTCTTTAAGCGATACCGTGAACGAATGAAATGTGTCATCAATACGGTTGACCGCCTTTGGCGTGAACATGCGGACAATCCAAGGTAAGCAGCAGCTTACTTGACAGCGCGCCTATTAATTAAAATGAGATCCCTCACACTTCACGCACCCTTTTCACAGCAAAGCGTCCTTGGCAGCTGCAATTTCGGTTCACGGAGAATTGGGAGAACTGTGGCAACGAGCCCGTTTCATTCTAACCCGATTGACTCGGGAGCGTCTGAACAACGAGGAGGGTAAGGGTGGCGAAGGTGACGCCCACGATGAGGCCAAACTCTACGGCGGTGTTCTTATGGACATGAACCAGCCACTTTCTCCTGGGGAGATTGCTGTGGCCAAAGAAGCGGCATCCTGGTCGGCTGAGCAGCACAACATGGTGAGTTAGAAGAAGTTTGGACTATCAAATGCTGATGACCCTGTCGAGCTAAACAGGGTTTTCGTTCTGCGTGCTTGACAAGGCCGTGTGGGAGTCCGCTGCGTCCTTGGAAAGAGAGGCTAGAGACGAAAGCCCTCAGCGTCGGGATAGTTCTCCCAAACGATTTCGGATTGTGCACAGCAGCGTGGGTTTGATCGGTTATGGTTGTCCACCTGAGATGGTGAGACTTGCCATTAGTATTCATCCTGAACAAATCAAGGAGATGGATGAAGCCGGCAACCTTCCGATCCATATCGCGGCGACGGCACGGTCGTACTTGACGACAAACTGCGCTGGTGGCAACAATGACAAGTCGACACTGGCTGCCGCTGCGGCGGCGGCGGTTGCTGCTTCTGATGAAGATAGCATTGTGTCAGAAGCCACTGGCGTCTTGAGTTTCTTTAGCAGTGCGACTGTGGCACAAACCATCAATGCGTTTGACAAGGTCATCAAAATTCTACTCCAGCATTACCCAGAGTCTGCCAAGATCCCACAAGGCAAAACTGGACATCTTCCTTTGGTTATGGCAGTCGAATCGGGATGCCGATCCTGGGATGATGGCATTCATACTCTCTTGTCAGCTTATCCACCTGCCTTGCACAACCGAAAGCTTGTGTCCTTGCCTCTCTATGCAAATGTTCTGTCAATGATAACCGACGACAACCAGTCACAATCACTGTATGGCGGGAACAGCAAGAAGACAAGTGGTGTGATGTCTCCACGAAGGGCCACCTTTAGATCCCCCCGGAAGCGGGCCAACAAGAGTAAAAGGGACAAGGCTTCGCGAAAGTTGACTACCATGTTCGAGCTGCTCAAGGTCAAGCCGGAATTGTTGGCTGCCACGGCCGGCAAAAGGGCTGGGAGAGAAGCCGAGGCCTAGTAGGCGCATCCTATCATCATCGTTGGCTAGCTAGCTATGGGAGGAAAGAAGCAGGGTTCCAGAGACAAGACGAATTCATTGGATGGAAATCATTGAGCCCAGAGAAAACGAACTTTATAAATGCACACGAAGAAAGAAAAAATAAACGAAAAGGTTGCAAGATATGGTCCGGTTTCTGCTGTACCGTATTGGGACAGACTACTGTATTGGTACCGGTACTGGGTAAAGCAGACCAAGTTCGGTTTGGACCCATTCAGCAGCGGAAGAAGTTATCTAATAGCTAGCTACCTGGTAGAGTATTTGGCTGATAACAACATACGAGAGTAACCATCCAAAGATCTATCTACTTCGTTCTTAGCTAGAACAGATCCTTCCTTGTTTTTGGAAAGGGCTAGCATAGTGCAATTGGACCCATTCAGCAGCGGAAGAAGTTATGTAATAGCTAGAGTATTTGGCTGATAACAGCATACGAGAGTAACAATCCAAAGATTTATCTACTTCGTTCTTAGATCCTTCCTTGTTCTTGGAAAAGGGATAACATAGTGCAACCGACCCCCGTTTTCTCTCAGCATAAATATCACACAATCTGCTCATTCTTCTCGACATCAACCAACTAACCGAAAAAATTGACCAGAGAGACAGCACCACTTAATATGGGAACCTGTTGGATGTTTCATGCTCTGATTGATTGGCAGATTGTTGTTTGGAATGTTTGTATATTGTTGCATAACTCTTCCGCCGCATCAATTGATTTACCAACCAGTAAAGTCCCCGTCGTCAGGTGATCTCACATAAAGACTGCCTGGAAGTTCTCCCTTCAAAACCTGAGCTATCACGATCCACGCAATCCAGAGACCAACCACTGTGACGGCTCCTCCTTGACATTTTGCAACCCAAGATTTTCTAGCCATAGCGATTTGGTGTGGAGACAGCGACGTCGGCTCCTCGGGAAAATCTGTAGGGATGAGGAGTCAGTAAGGGCAAAGTGAGAATTAAACGCAGCTGTATATCCCTCAAGGGTCTTCCACCGCAGCAAACCAAGCTCGAAAGTGTTGACATGACTCACGTTCATCAGCATCCAGCAGTCCCTGGTTTGTATCATCTCCAGCCTCGTCAGGATCATTTCCAGATGCTTCAAGGCCTCTGTTATACAGAACATGTACTATCCATAACCAGGGCAGACCAAAGCCGCCGGCCCAAAAGATCCGCTGAGACAGAAGGTCCGATCTCATGGTGAATTCAATGTCGTGTTATGATTTGATTTTGGTTTGGTTGTGTGTGTTGCTGGAGCTGTTGCTCGTTTCGTTGGGGAAGAAGAATTAACGAACTCTTAGGTGCTGCCGGCTCGAGTGATTTATCCCAATTAGGGTTGAAAGTATTCGAAAATGCTTCCACGAACGACTGAACCGCTTAGCTGGCTTAATTAGCTGGAGCAACAAAACAAGAACTTGAAATGCCTCAGCCGCTCGAAGAACAATGCATAATGCATGACCTTGAAGGTCAGCTGAAGAAGCACTTTCTCGTGGGTGGGAAGCAGCCTCTCATTGCAAGACCAATCAATAACACCACAACATAGCCTACTGTATAGTTGAATGGGCTTGAGACGACGTAGAGTATATTTGAAACCAACATCACATGTTGGACATTGAATCTGCGCCCTGGCTGGCTTGCGTATGCACATCACCCATGCAGTCAAGCATACAGAAAGCCAAGATGGCATCCAAAAGCTATCTCAGTCAACTAAGTTGGTTAAACCACTGGCAAGGGTCATAGGAATCATATACTAGTTCCGTTTAGAGCTGGTTAGGAAAGATCACATCCAGATTCTAGGGCAACATGGGTCACAACTGCTGGGCGTTCATGTAGTCGTTTCCCGCTCAAAAAGAGACACAATCCATAATATTTTGCATAATAATGAAACATCCAGCGTCCACAGCCCCTGGGACAAACACCTGGCTTCCTGCCTAGATCCTTACTGCTTTTTCTTGGAAGATTTCTTGGCCGCGGTTTTCTTGGTTGCAGTCTTCTTCTTGGTGGTTTTCTTGGTAGCCTTTGCTGCTGGCTTGGATTTAGCTGCAGGCTTCTCCTTTTTGGTAGTTGACTTTTTCTTTGGTGATGGTTTGTCCTTCTTGGCAGTGGTCTGGGGAAGGAGAAGGCTGGTCATGAGGAATCATCTTCCTCGTTGTCAAACAGGTCCAACATGGGGGTTCTTACCTTCTTCTTGGCAGTTGTCTTTACGTTGCACAAGCAAGCACGTCAGAGACCACAGAAACAAAGCAAGGAATGGGAGAAAATAAAACTATGCTTACCTTTTTCGCCTTGGTTTCTTTTTTCTTTGGGGCCGCCTTTTCTTTTTTGGCCGGTGCCTTTGCCTTCTTTGGAGCCTCCTTCTTCGCCTCCGGGCTGAGTTTGTAACTGTTTTTCACTTGAATGAGGGTTCCGTCTTCCACTGCCTTCTTGAGGGCGGCTTTCATTACATGTTTTTTGACAGTTTGCTGGTGGGGTGTAAGAGAGAGATGATCTGTGAGTTTCAAGGCTGGGGGTGGAGTGGTTGGTGCAAAATCCATCATCACATTTTCGCCCTAGAAAAATGTACCAGGGACCATGTACAAATTTCTCACAGCTCAAAACAGCCAAAATATTCACAACAGAGGCATAATAAGCCACACAAATGCAGCAGAGTGTCTGCGTGTATGTATGCCATCAGCTTTGGTTGGTCTGGGTCGGCAAAAGCGAACCTAAAGTGACTTTTCGCCATGGTCGATCGCTGACGAAAAAACGATCCGCTGTTGATCACCTTCGCTTCCCCTGAGACTGTTTGCGGCCTTACCTCCTTTTCAGATTCGATCCACTTGTTGATGGCAATCAGAGATGATCCAGTACGGTCTTTTAGAGCCCCGATGGCTTCTTTGACGAGCTTGATGGTCGACATGGTTCGATCTCTCTACTTTGAATGCAGGCAGTTGGGAGTGTCGAGTGTTTTTTTGAGAGATGCAAAATTGAGCAAACTGGTTGCAGCAGCTTTTGATGAGGAGCTTGAAAAAGGGGAAAAGTCGGACGGGCGCTTCAAGAAGAGAGTGTGCCTTGCACGCTCGCATCATATAGGGATAAGGTATATACAGTAGTTTGATTTCGGGAGGGGCTTGACTTCGCCTGCAAGATGCGGAATTCGGCTGATTTCAATCTTCTAAAGTTGTATAGTCTACATGTACTCCTTCCAGGAATTCCCCGACTCCGGGAAATCCGCCACTATTCCTTCAGGGTTATAAGGAAGCATTAAAGGGAAAGGGAATGGGGGAAAAGAATTAACTGCCAGTCACACTAGTGACTCCACGTAGACTTGTGTAGAACAGTACTGATTCATGACTCCCAGTCATGTTCATGACTGTGAAGTCTTGTTCCTGCTCCTTCGAGGGATTGGGGAATTCCTCCATTCCTCTCATTATTCCCCCTGTCCAAAAATCCCAACTTTCCGGGCGCAGCTCAGAAAGTTGGCCGGGAGCCTGGAGAAAAGGAGGAGAGCTGGGAGAATTCGGATAGTTCGTGTTGGAGGTTAATGCTCTGTTTACAGGTTAGCTTTCCAGGAGTTTTCCACTAGCTTTCAGCTTTGACCCAACACCGTGATGGTTAGCTTTCCCAGTTCTCTGGCTAACTTTTATGGCAAGTTGGCTGAAGCAAGCAGTTGGTTTTGGGAAAAGAGCCCTATTTTTTGGGGTTTGCGAGCTATTTGAATAGGCAACGAGGTCTCCTAGTGAATGTACTGAAGCTACGTGGAGCTCCCAGTGAAGGTACTGGAGCTACATGAAGCTACTGGAGCTATTTGAAAGTGCTCGAGACCTCTATTACTGGTGCTTTACAAATAGAGAAGAGAACTGATAACCAACACTAACAACAAACTTGGCTATTCCTGTTGCTTTTCAAACAGAGAAGAGAACCGATAACCAACACCAACAACAAACTTAGTTGATACTAGCATTTTAGTACTCTTCTGCCTGTACAGCAACGAAAATGAGCCAAACAACTAATGCATGTAGTAGTCAACCTCTTCGGGAGAAGAACTTGGGAGAAGCACCAACATCTAATGCCATAACGACCCTAGGAAGGCCACTGGGGAGCATGGAATTTTGTAATAAACTAATTTTATTGAAATACAAGGGTTAGAGATAAAAAGAGGAAGCGGTAGAAACCTGCATAAAAAGTAGCTATGTAGTAGCTAGCTAGCGAGGTGGAGCACCATGTCGTGTTGACAAAGCACAATCATACTATTTTACTATAGATTCGCACAGTGGTTGGCATGAACAGTACGAAATTCCTTTTCACAGACTTATGCAGCATTGGCCAAATCGTGATCTGATAGATTCGTACAGTACTTTGTATAGTAAATGATTCTACTAGTACATTTTAGTAGGTAAAAGCATTGATATGCAGGACTCGAATTACTTATCTCATAGCTAGACCAGTAACACCTTATGAGAATTCGTGACTGCACATGTAGGCCAAACCGTACAGTAATTGCAATACACGGCTCTTAGCCTTATTCGCGACTCGATCCTAGATAGGGTTTGAGTTTGACTCATGACTGAGTCTCTCGTGAATAGTTATTGAGACAGGGTTCTCAATGACGCTCTAGTCATACTAGGTTGATGATGAAACATCGCTCTAGATATTAGCCGTGGAGAGTCTTCAGCTATAGATAAATGTATACGAATCTTCCACGCGTTCCGTTTTTGGATCGTGGAGTGAGTAGGATTGCTACCGCAACTACTCTATCACACTCTACAGTCTTCCGCGGGAGTTCAGATCTACGTTCTTTGATTGTGGATCTCTCTCGTTTGATTAGTTTTTCTTAATCTCTCTCTTC